TGGTGTCACCAATACCGATACTGAAACCGTTGTGTAGCAACCAGTAGTTGACGATTCTTTGAGCACCGTTGAAGAAACCCACGGCAGCCCAAGGCCCGTTCTCGTTGAAAATGGTGTGGATGACACCGCCACCGCTGGCACCGACAGTCTTCTTAGAAAACATACCATACATCAACTGTCCTCCGTGGATGAGGAGACCACCATCAGCCAAAGGAGAGAACTTCTCCGCCAATGGCGAGCTATCCTTGTCCACACGGAGGAGGTTCAAACCAGGAGGCAGAGCCATACTGATCATCTGCTTTCCAGTCCACCTCGGCCTGGGTTTCAAGATAGCTGGGGGAGGAATAACACCGTCCCAGTCGGGTACCCACATCATCAGATTCATGACTTGATCCTTCGTCAGGAAGACATCACGTCGGCAAATCTTATAGATACCGCAAAGAGTATCCTGCACGATACCCATAAGTGGGCCGTTTCGCTGGGGGGAGACAATGTTCATCGGCACCAGTGCGAGCTGGCTGAGCTCAGCGCGCGATTCCTCAGACTGAGGGACATGCAAGTTCATTTCATCACCATCGAAATCGGCGTTGTAAGGGGACGTCACAGACAAATTCATGCGGAAAGTCGAATACGGCATGACACGAACGCGGTGACCCATCATGGATTCCTTGTGCAGAGATGGTTGACGGTTGAAGAGAATCACATCACCATCCATCAGGTGGCGTTCCACCTTCCATCCATACAACAACTGCTGGCCTCCCGCTCTCCGAGCATGGCGAAGATCAATGCGTTCTCCATTGTCTCTAACGATATACCTAGCTCCAGGGTGCTCATTCGGGCCGTTCTGTACAAGCTGCTGCAGTTTCTCGATATTGTATGGGGTCACGACCTCCGGGTAAGTTAATGTCTTGGCAATACTCTTCGGCACACCGACCTCCTCGAGTGACAGGTTCGGATCACCGGTAATGACGGTACGAGCAGAGAAGTCGACACGCTTGCCCATCAAATTCTGTCTGAGACGACCTTCTTTACCCTTTAGACGACTGCGGATAGCCTTGACTGGACGGTTGGATTTCTGCATGGCCTTCGGCTGACCCGCGATATCGTTGTCCATGTAGGTGGCGACGTGATACTGCAAGAGAGACTCGAACTCGCGCACAACGTGTTCGGGAGCACCTTCTTGCTCACAGCGTTGAACGTTCTGATTTGCTCGAACGATTTCAGCAAGCTTGTAAGTCAAATCATCCTCACCACGTTGGCCACTGGTGCTACCACCGACAACCACACTAGGACGGACCGGCGGAGGGGGGACTGGAAGGACTGTAATAATCATCCACTCAGGACGAGCATAATCATTGCTCAAGCCCATAATGCGGGTATCTTCGTGAGTGATGCTGCGGAAGACATTCAGAGCCATTAGAGGAGTGATGGTCTTCTTCTCGGGTTGTTGCATATCCATCTCATCCATCATCTTGTTGGGCTTCCAAGTGCCGACGAGCGTGATACCCTCCTTGCGGATGGTAGGCTGCGCGTTACCACATCCACCATGCATCCGCGACGGCTTGGAATTCTCTTTCGAGAACGGATCCTCGTCATCCGGAGGAGGGTCGGCTTCGCAGATCAGCACATCTTTGGAAAGGCGCCAGATGGTATCGAATCGTTTCTTGGGGTCCCTCATGCGCAGGGCATCTAGAAATTTAGAATCGGACTGGTGGGTTAAGTTAGCAAAACTGCCGTAGTAGATTTGCCATCCCTAAAGGGATGACTAACCGTATTGGCCTTGATCTTGCCACAGTTGTGGCAGACCGTCTCAAGGAGCTTCTTGATTTTAGTCAAGAAACCTGAAAGACGCAAAAAGCGAGACAAGTTAGTATTATTCGCAGCATTTCATCTGATTGGATTTCGTTTATGGTTGTTTGCCGGTCAACATACCAATATGATAAACGGGAGTCGCCAGCTCGATGTGTCCGAAGTGCCCGGGGCATTCTTTTTGACCTTCCTCGCAAGTCTCGCAATTCCATTGTCGGTCGATCGTTCCGAGGCGGGGGTCGTTCAAGCCCTTTGTGCGCGGACGTTGCCGTTGTTCATCCTATTGGGAAGTGTTTCCCGCGTTAGCGCCACCCGCGGCCGCTTCGTGCTTTGAAGGAACACCGGGAAGAACAAACCATCGTCTCCGGGTATTCAACATGAACCACGCTCATGCGTTTGATCTCCTCCGGGGAGAAAAGACCAAACTGAATTTCCTTAATGGTGCGCAAAGGCGCCTTGGAATATGGGAAGTAAACGTTCGCCATGATGACGGTGGTCGCGGTGAGGTGTTCTTTTCAAAAGCGGTGCGTTGCGTCAGTCGATCAACGGGGGGGTTCGAGACGTGGTGGTCGCGCGAAGACGTGAGGTGACGAAGTCGTAAATGTAAGGAAGCTGTGCTGGCAACCTTTATTGACAGAGATACGGCGATGATGGAAGAGACGTTGAGGGGGGAGGGGAGGAGAAGAAAGCGAGCTGGCCGGCTGAGGCCTCTGGCAGCCCTTGCCACGAGGGCGCCTGCGACCTAGATCCACCGACTTTGCGAAAGCTCGAAAAAGGGCGAGGAGGAGAGGGACGCGATCGTGCTTGGCGATATCTCAGTGCCGTATAGGTGATATCGCGATGCAAAACGCGATGGTCGTGGGGGGGGATATGATGGAGGGAAGGCGTGTCGAGGTGATGGAAGGGAGATGAATGGACGTCAGGTTAGTCGGCAATGGGGCAACGAGTTTTCTGAGCCGCACCTCGTCGCGCTAACTCACCCGGCTTTATAACTCATTCACACTAAGCCCAGGAAATAAGGTGGTAGCCAATCAGCTTGCTTACAGTGAAAGTAAAGTGGAGTCAGCCGCCCTCACTTCAAAGGACCCTTTCTCACCGCCCGCCACCCGCTTTCCATCTTTCTGCTGCATCTTCCACCTTTGAAATACGAATATAGAAGATCTCGGTCGCTCGGTTTCCTCTCCCCTCTCTCCCCCCCGCCTGCTTGGTGAATAACAATAGCAACTTGCTACTGGTAATCCTGCATGGTCCCTTTCGCAATCCTCTCCCGGCCTTTCTCTGCAGGCTGGGATCGCTTTTCATATTTCCCTTGCATGACGCTCTAAATACCATCATTGGTCTCTGAGCCGCGGCTCGGTCATTCAACACTACGCTATGAATTTGTCCCTCATTGATCCCTTCGTCCTCGCCCAGGACTATCCCGACACATTATCGGAAAAGCTTAGTATGTTTCGCCCTTGGCATCACTGCTCGATTCTAGCGCTGACTTTGACAGGAAGCGGCCATGCTACGTGTCTACGATTTAACCGCAAGGGAGATTATTTGGCGTCCGGTCGGGTTGGTCTACTCATCACAAGCATACCGCAAATCGCGTGTTTCTTTCAAACCGTTATAGTAATCTTCAGCCTTAGGTGGATGGTACAGTGGTCATTTTTGACGTGGAAACCAATGGGGTAGCACGCAAGCTACGCGGTCATACCAGACAGATCCAATCACTGAGGTACGGAACCTTTCTCGTCTGCATGGTTTGGACAAAAGGAACTAATCTGATTGGGGAATCTAGCTGGTCGAGAGACGGTAGATATCTTCTAAGCTCCTCTCAGGACTGGAAATGTATCTTGTGGGATCTGAAAGATGGTTCCCGAGTTCGCACCGTTCGCTTCGAGGCGCCTGTATATATCGCCGAACTACATCCTTATAACCAGTACGAGACTCCCCTGTCAATCCATATCGCATTGTCGACTAATATCCCTCTTCGTCTAGTTTACTCTTTGTCGCCTCTCTGTTCGAAGATCAGCCCGTTCTTGTCGACGTCTCCTCCTCTAAACCTGTCAAGCGCATTCTCCCTTCTGCACCTTTCCGTCCGCCTCCCGCCAAAGGCGAGGAGCTTGACGCCGCGGCTGCTGCTAAACAAGCTGCACAAGATGCAAAGCACTCGACCTGTGTGACCATTTTCACCGCCCTAGGGAATCATATCATAGCAGGCACGTCGAAGGGCTGGATCAACATCATAGAGACCCAGACGTGCACCACTATCCATTCTACTCGTCTGTGCAATGGAGTAGTGATTCTACTTCGTCTAGCCAGCAATGGCCGGGACCTGTTGGTGAACAGCTCCGATCGCGTGATACGCACGATTCTCATGCCGGACCTCTCGCAGCTCGGCATTGATCTGGAGCCCAGCAACATCAAACTCCAGGTGGAACACAAGTTCCAGGATGTAGTTAATCGATTGAGCTGGAATCACGTCACTTTTTCTTCGACCGGAGAATTCGTGACGGCATCCACATTCATGAACCCCGACATCTACGTATGGGAACGGAGTCACGGGTCTTTGGTCAAAATCCTGGAGGGTCCCCGGGAGGAGCTGGGGGTGGTAGAGTGGCATCCTGGTCGCCCGATGGTCGTAGCTTGTGGTCTGGAATCCGGCTGCATCTATACTTGGTCAATAGTGACTCCCCAGAAATGGTCAGCGCTGGCGCCTGATTTCGGTGAGGTTGAGGAGAATGTGGAGTACGTCGAACGCGAAGACGAGTTCGACATTCACCCAGCAGAAGAAATCCACCAACGTCGTCTGGATCAGGAAGACGAAGTTCCCGATGTGCTCACCATTGAGCCCATCAAAACTGGCACTGATGAGGAGGAAATCACATCATTTCGGATGCCGGTCCTGCTCGACATCTCCGATAGCGAAAGCGAAGAAGAGATCGTAGCTGTCGGTCCAGGCACTATGAGGCGACGCAGTCCAGGTGCAGGTCGAGACTGGATGAACACGAATAGTGAGGGAGAAAAGGAAAGCACTGCAAGCGGTAAGAATGGTACTACACGGGGCCAAAAAGGCCGGCGGCGCTGATCAGTCCATCTTGTGCTCCTGATCCCTTGTGTCGCACGATTTGCCATGGATCTGTGAGTCATTTCTGTTTGTGCTTTACTATATCATAGCATGTCAGCTAGGTTATTCTTTGGAGGTTGCTGGGCGTTTGGCGAAAAAAGCAAGGATCTGGCACTCGGTATACTTACGGAGTTGATTGATGGGAGTTTCTGGGTTGGAAGAAAGAAGACCTGATAAGCTCCTCACAGAGACATGGTTTATAGTTCCCTTGTATGCTTTTCTTCCCCATTTGTCAAGGGGATAGTGCAAAGAATGCTCTGCATGGTCGCGGCCTCTAGCTTTGTCAAGGGGTTCCCGTAATCAAAAAATGGAGTATTGCCCTCAATGCTTGGACCAGTGAATGTCGGTAAACTATTCCGTGAATATTCTACAGACGCTCGGACCCTCAAATCGGCCACGGGCATGTCCAATAGAACTCGGATCTGACTAACATTCAGAACGGATGCGGCACTCTGCTGGGCCTTTCCCAGTTCAAGTCCCCAGGCAGCGGCCTCCACGGGAAGATGCCACGGAAAGACTTTCAGCATGTATGCTGCCAAAGGATCCGATGAGTTGCACCGCCTATGCAAGCCGGAAATGCAGGTAGGATAGATCTCCCTTGCATTTTGCATTGATCCTAGGGATGCATTCCGCTCCGTTGTCAATTGAGCAGGAGCCAACACGGAGCGCAACTGAAAACTTGATGAGCCTCTCGCGAACTTCATTGCGATGTGCGAGACAGTCGGGTGCTGTCAAGTCAACCAACTCAACTGCAATGCAGAGATGCATGTCCACACAAGCTGGAAGATGCAGGGAAAGACGGGTCAATGCATGACTCTACCACAACACCTAGCAAATAAGAAGCGAACATGGATGCCGTGAACGGTGTCATACACCGCCGTCCATGTCGAGAACCGCACGCAAACTTCAAAATCAGCGTATGTTTTTGAATCAGTCCTGCATTGACCATCAACCCAGTAGTGTCAATTGGGAAAGGGCTTTCGCGCTTGATAGATATGTAAGAGGTTCCAAGCATGTATGTCTGGGTTAAAGGCTTCGGATTTCACCTCCTCAGAGATGCGCCTGATTTTGTCCACGGGCCACTGGAAGACCCGGCTGAATGGTGCCAGACCGAGAGACTCAATACTCTCTGAGATTGCCAGATTGTACCACCGGGCGACCTTGCTCTCGTGCTTATCAGGGATCCACGGGTTGAGCGGTAGGCCCACGATTTGATGGTTGATTTGCGTAAAGCCAGCTTCCTCGAGCTGCTTGATCGTCTCGTGAGAATTGTGTGCTATTGGTCGCATTGTATCCTGTGTTGCTTGCTTCAAGTATTGATACCAGTGCCACATAGCCAGTTCCTCCAAAGGACGGTTATTGCAGCGTGGCTCAAAATCGATTTCCACCTGCTCGAACCAAGCGCCCGGTGCAAGGTGCGCAAAGATCTTTTGGTAGAGGTTTGGCCAGCCCACAACGCTGCCACAGCCCATTTGCAGGTGAATTAGATCCCAAGAATCCTCCCCCATGGCCCAGGGACCCTCGAAATCGAATGGCGCAAAGAAATGACAGTTTTCAGGGTGATTGTCAGGCTGTATTTGCGCGAGGTCAACTCCGACCACATGGGCCTTGGGATACTTATGTGCCACATCAATGGCCCAGATACCCGTGCCGCAGCCCAGGTCTAAGAACCGTCCATTCGAAGGGTGCGGGGCATAGATTAGACCGTCCGATTTTCGCGCTTCCGTGAACAGCTTGTGGAAGATGTCGAGGCGGTCCTGCTCCTGCTCGTCGCATGGTAACATGTAGACTCCTTTCCGGAAACCATGATACATCCGGCCATTTTCTTCATACGGGGGGTAATTCTGTGAGAGCCTAGACCACAGAGAGCCACGGAATGGCCGTGCTCGGAGATTAGTCACTTAATTGCGGCAGATTTTCAACAGGATTGGGGGATGGAATGGGGAGCGTTACTTGCTGTAAGTACTACTCATGCTCGGAGACCCATTGCGGTTGGCAGCATTACTATCGACGGCACTATGCTCTAGGTTTTCGCGGTCTGTGATGCCGTAAATCTCCATCACATCTGAGTTTTGCCTGGAGCGAGCTATCTCAGCGGGGGCCGTTGCTGGAGAAGTATAATAATTGCGAGTAGGCGATGCCATAGCGGTTGAATGATGTACAGCCTGTTCGTTCCCGAACATTCAGGTAGACCGAATAGGCTGTAGAGGCCAGGAGAGGAAAGATCGTCAGAAGGAGACTTCTCTCAGTTGGTGCAGCAGACGGCGTACGAGTGAATTGCACGCGGAGAGTCTTGATTAGGGGCAGCAACGGCCAAGAACAGCCGTTAACCCACCAGATGTATGTGAGCTGGAAGCAGAAAATATAGTTCGACGGTCAGAGTGTACATAGAGTAGCAATGAGGAGGACCAAAGCAGGTAGAAATTGATCTCAGAGTATACAGATCCACCAAAGAGGGGCAGGGCGGGCGGTAGGCCGTTCGTTGACCCAAATGAATAACAAGAGATCGGAGAGGGTGAGGAAATCGTGCAAGGCAGGAAAAGCAAAGGAAAATTTGAGTAGGGAAAAACGACAGAAGGCTAGTAGAATCTCCAACATCCAGTCCCACAGCAGGCACGCACGCACATGCAGAGATCGATTGATTTGCAATCAATTCTATTTGATCTGGACCAACAGAACGAGACCAAAGAGGAAAATGATGTCCCTGATGGAGCCCCCGCGTAGTTTGGCTGGGAGATTCGTCGGGGAACACCACAACCTGAAGAAGAAGAGGAGGACGATGGACAATGGAAGAGCAATGACACTGAGAATGAGAATGAGAATGGCGGTCACGGGGCCCTGTGGTATGGTATGAAAGTCGAGAACCGTCACTAATCTCTGTCCGTCCGAAGCCACTATCTGTGGGATCTAAAGGACCAAACTGTCCCGAGCGGGATCAATTGCAACGAGCTGGGGGAGGGAGGGGAAAGGAGGAGAATTTCAAAAATATTCACGAGACTGAAGAGCAGAGGTCAAGGGGTAGTTAAGAGCAGAGAGAGGAGGGCGGAAATGGCAAAGGGAAAAGGAACCAAAGCACAAGAGGAACCGAACAGAACAGGAGAAAAGGGTTGACGATGGAGATGAGGATGAAAGGGAAAAGGCCAAAGCATTGAAGCAACCAACAACCCTGGCTTTAAGGTTGTTACAGCCGCTGTCTTGTCATTCCCGTTGGGCCCACGGGCGCGAAGGCGGGGGGGGGGAGGGAAAGAGTGCGCGCGGTTGCAGTGGAAGGCCTGAGAATTGCTAGAATGAATTTAGATGTTAGAGCGACATACGATGAATCCTTCGTTTGTTTGATTCTGCTGGAGAGCCGTTGCGGGAGAGAGAGGCTTAGATGTGTATCAATTCATACAGCAAATAAGAAGAAGAGTACTATAACTAAGTACTGTACTAGGTGAGTAGTTGTAGCATGTTGGTTGGTATGTAAGGTATGAAGGTAGGTACTATTATGTATGTACAGTACAGTGCTTACATAGTACGTAGAAATCTAACTAGCCCTCAGTCAGTCACTACCTAACCAAAATCGACTCCGAACCGAGAACAACGATGGACGATGGGCTGAGGATGTGTCGGGGCCGGCCATGACTAAGGGAAACTTCCAGAGCTTATTGGCTATTCCCCAGAGTAAAGCCCCTCTATCAACCATGGTACAGGGGCTGCTCTAGTATCTATGGGATCTGGAGAGCTTCTTTTTTTTTTTTTTCTGGCATTAAACGAGACGAATAGATAGATCATGGATATCTTAGACACTACGTACTTTACTTTATCTACTTACAATTTAGAGGCTCAGCTGTGGATGAGCCTAAGAGAGTCAACCTTAGACTACACCTTATGATCACCATCATTATCACCACCATCACCATCAACATCACCACTATCTTCATTTTCATCACAAGAGTAGAAATACTACCGAGTAGTCGGGCCCGACTCGATCTTTAATTTCTCCTAGATTCACGAAAGCAATCATTGCTGATGGAACGCACACGGTCCTGACAGTGTACCATGCCCGCATGTGTACTGGCCATACCGACTAACCGCACCAAACTAACATACTTTAGGCCCTGCCACACCACATGCTGGTCATTCTGTTTCCCTATCCAGCATAGACGCTGAACCCACTGCTTTTAGGCGGATCTTTTAGCGCCTGCTGCTATTTACCATTTTTATCCATGCCCTCCCCTCCCTTTGGCAATTTCATTATATCTTCGATGGGGGGGGGGAGTGTTTTTTTTTCTCTTTTTTTCTTTTTTATCTAAGAGCATCTGTAAAAGGAAAATCCATGACAATAAGCTATACATACTTTTCAACCTACGGGAATCATATCATTCACGCCCTACATCAACAGCCAAGGACAAACATTTCACAAAGCATTTCGTGCCAGGTGTTGTTGACAGGCGGTTTGGGTCTAGGTGATGTGAGTGGTAATATGTAACGGCCAAGCTCGATCTATCTAGCTACGATGTGAGCATACTTGGCGGAGACTTCAGCCCCCGTTCCTCCCAACGTAACGCTTGCAATTGCAGAAGGTAAGTTGGCGAGGAATCGGTGGTATCACCAGTAGACTAACGCGGGATTATTGAAGGTGTACCATGGTTGAGCGGGAGCATTCCCATCGGCCGCCATGGAAGTATAACACTGGGGGTTTTGAGATGGGGTGGGAAACAAAGAAAGGGGAAGAAACCAGAAAAAAATATAGAGGGCCGGAAAGAGAACATCAAGGAGAGAAAGAAGAAACTGGGAAAAGAAAAAATAAATAAGAAAAAAAGAGACACAGAAAAACAACAACAAAAAACCAACCTAAAAAAAAAAAAAAAAAATCTCCAGGAAATCAAAAAGATTAAATGATGGGAAAAAGGTCACCACCAGGGCCGAGGGAAGAAGCATGGGCAGATGGATTCAAGACTCAAGAGAGATGGATCGAGGAATAGAATTCATCGATTGAACCGTGGATGGGTCTTTTCCCTCCAGGCTCCTCCCTTCCCTTTCCCCAAAGAACTTTAGGCAAAGTGACTTTCGGGCGGGATGCGGACCGTCTCCCACACTTAGTTGAATGAAGGAAAGTTTCCCTGTGAACCACTTTGGGCAACTGGACCGCTGGGCCACTGACACTACGCGCAACAATATCTCCGGCCGATTGGCGGTGGGGTGCCAGCATTCTCAGGCAGGCCCAGCCAGCGGCGTCAGTTAGACAGACCGCGGCATTTAGTCTACCAAATCGCTGGGTGAAGGATTCAACTCGCAGCTCCGGCCGTGGGCTTCTCCCTCTTCCAGCTTTCGCCCGTAGTTTACTACCTAGTACATAGTAGGTAACGTAGCGCCCAAGCCTAGAAGACGCCAACTACGTATCCACTAACTGACTCAACTGACTAACCAACTAACTCACTGATTAGTCCACAGGGTTGGGATTGGCGGTTTTTTTTTTTTTTACGGTTGTCAGCCAGAATTGGGAATCGCCTAGTTCATACGGCATTGCGTGCATCCGTTTCCGAGCTGGAGACCAGGGTCGATCTCTTCCCCATTCTTAGCGAGGATATGCTCGGGTTCACGGTTCAAGTGGCAATTGACAACATGCTCGGGAGAGGCTCTGTTGGAGAATTGACTCATGTTCGTTAGTCCGATCCAGCACGGTGGTGCTGATATATCGAAGAAACGACGATGACGATCAGGATGGAAGCAACTTCAAGGAAGGATCCTGAACCCACGGCCATGGCCAAAAGTCCTGTGTGGATTTAGAGTTTTACTTTCAGCATCTCGTCATCTCTAGTCTCCCCCGACGTGTCTAGTGTCGTTTGATCACGGACAGGGTTAGTTAAGGTTACATCCAGTCTTTCAGGGCGGGATGATGAAGGGGGGGTGATAACCAGATAACCCTGGAAGCTTATTATGGGGTATGCCTACCACAGGTTCATGAACTCCCATCGAGGTGCCTGACCTGCAGTCCGGGGTAGTAGTAAGACACGAATTCAAAGTACCCCATGTATGTATGTGAAACAGGAAGCACAGGCCGGGAAGCCACTCTCATCCTCTGGATTGCCGCAGCTGCTTAAGCTTGATGCATGGAGGCAGTGCGTACAGTTTACATATGCAAGATATGCAGGTTCTTGCTCTTGTCCTCCGTGGTCGACAGCCTGGAGCCCATCGTTATCCGCCCGCTTGGCGCCGGGTCCCCCGGTCAGCGTCCGATTGACGGAGGGGAGTTGCCTTGTGACCTCGATGTAATTAAGGCTTGTAGGCTCGACTGACCCGTGTTGATCGTTACACCGCTTCCCAGACTCTCGGGTCCATGGTGAGTGGGTGGTTTGCTGCATGCTGCTGCGAAGCGCTGGACGGACTGGACTGTTCAATCCGTTCGTCCTGTTTCCCCGCCCCCACTAAGATTATCCAAGAAAATTTGTTCGGCCACGCATGTCTTGGTCATCTGGCCCTTTGTGCCCCCTCGTCAAGCTTCTGACATGAGATTTTGCCATTCTGCACCAGAACGTAACCACCCCTCAATCCCTCGAGTTGATGAATGGTCATCCAAAGAAACTATCTGCTGGCGCTGGGACACTGGACTCCTGCAGAGGATAGCCATAAGATCGACTTGCTATTATGCATTTGTCTTGCTGAAAGAAGAGGTGTGTGGCAATTCTTGCTTGCTGCAGTGCGATCCTGGCGCGAAGAGTGGCTGGCTATCGTAGTCAGTCCCTGAGCTCAGCGATATGTTAGACTACTCGTATGGTTTCTCTCCTCGGCCGCGGCTGTGTTTTAGGGTATCGTCGTGCCGGTAATTTGATAAGTTACCACTGACAACGCGCCGCGTAAGCACACGTCCATCCATGGGTTCGGATAGAAGTATTGGAGCTCCCGAATCGATTTCATATCGTCTTCTTGGACGCTCAGGTTTCCCTCTCTTGCACTTTCCTTGCGAACAGGTCAATAAGAGAGAACTATTAGTGAATCAGTCTCCACTCGAGTCACACAAGTAATTTTCGGAGAAATCACCCGTGTATTTGTGATTTGTTGGATGTTTTCAGTCAACCAAGCAAGCCAGTTGGTTTGACAAACGCAAACCTTGGGCAGTCATGGAGTCGGAGTCGGATTGACCTGGGCTGGGCTCTCTGTTTAGCTGAGCCTGGAGCTGAGCTTGGTACTGCCTGCCTTTTCGACTACGGATTCCAGCCTGGAGTAAGTGATCTAGGTATATCCTTACTTGTACATACGTACGGAGTAGAACAATCTCGTCCGAGGCTCTCCTTTTCTAAATCCAAGCAGCCTTGCAGCCCCTCATGCGGCATGCATACATATGTGCCTTCATGGTTCAGAGTTTGGTACCATATCACAGGCCTTGGATAAGCGCCGTTTTACCCTTCCCAAAACCGCCTCCAGTTTGCTTCACTGTTATCGATCCTATTCCAGGGTCCAACGAGCGCCCCCGAGGTCTGGGCGCCTTACCAAGCCGCATCCCAAACAACCACGTTTTCCTCCTCCCTCCTATCAAGCCTGCCACGATTCATGCGAGGTGGTGGGGAGCGGCGCCTCTGTCTTTCTCTCTTTCGCTTCTTGTTGATTTCATGATTCGATCATCATCTTGGGTGGGTTGTCAGTTTCACCGGGTTCAACAGATCGTTTTCCCCTGGATTTCTTGCCGATCCAGTTGCAGTTACTGCCCGCTCAGAACAGACAGTGATCGGACTGGGAACCACCAGCCACATTGGGATTGGGGGCCAGGCCCTTTTTTTTTCCTTTTCCACATTCCCCTTTCCCCCACCAAACTCAACACCAACAACGTGGATCTTTTCTCCTTGGACTGGTCCATTGCTCGCTTTTACTCGGTGATAATCACCGCTTGACTCGACGAGCAACCGGGACGACCACTAACTCAACTCTGGTCCCCATGAACCTCTTGACCTCACAGTAGAGCATGTACGAGATGCTCGTGCTACATTCTAGATAACTACACGCACACGCACGCACATACTCTCTCTCTCTCTCATAGATTTGGTCGCATTGGTAGAAGGACAAGCGACTACTCGCTCCTTATGACTTAGCGCGTGACTTGACTAATGCTCTTTCACCGAATCATCGATGGTGACAAGCGGCAGGTGGCTCACTGTGTCTGAAAGGCGAATATTCAGACTGATGATAATGACTGCTCTTGTCTTAAGCCCCTCGTTTCGAGAGCAAATTGCACAAAAAGTCTCGGCAAATTCTTGGGGTCTCTTGGGTCTTATATTGCTGCGGCTGTGCTGAACTGCCTGGCATCTGCCTCCTCCACTTCAGTTCACACAAAACCCCCTCACGCCCACACGCACACACGCACACACGCACACACGCACACACGCACACACATTCATCTCTTAGCATCAAACTAGTCGGTTTGAAAGCATCAACTCAGGACCAACCAACTAGGCCGAGTCCCTTCTGGCTGATTTGTGGGTTGTCAGAAATGGAGGCTCCACTAAACCCCACTGGAGTCGGAGCCAGGGATAGGCAAGGTACAGTACGTACTCATTTAAAACGGAAGGTCTGATCCCAGGTTTTGAGTCGAGAAGAACACTGGCCAATCCTGCTAATGCTTGCGGGAACGCTTCGGTATTGTGCACATGCTAGGTCATAGGCCTATAACAGGGCCTTCTAATGACCACACACTGTGATATATCGATGGCTGGGACTAGCTATGTCATGCGGGCATTCATCGTCTGCATGTCCATTCTCGGATCGGGAGCTAGTTAACCTCTAGCTGCTGTAGTCGGCAGACCCAACGCATGCTCGATGAATAATATCGGACTCGGGGAAGGAGTCTGAATCAGGAGAATGGAGGCTTCCAGCCCTCGGGGGAGGAGGCAATGACTTGCTCGCAGCTCTCGTGCACGGTGGTAGTTTACTTGGTGAGACATATAAATGTACAGTACTCACCGGTGAGGCTTCTATATGTATGGACTGTGGGAGACATGGGTATAGCAGGGCTCGCTATAGTGATGTGAGTGTGGGGCTGGTGGGATTACTGAATCCGGCTACCTACATGTTCCTACCGTAAGTCAGTGGAGGTTTGCTTTCTAGAAGCCGACGGACCATTAGGTGCCATGCTTGAGACTAAATCTCTGAGCATGGCCGACCCTATCTATTATGGAATAGAGCATGGCTCCAATAGTCGGCTGTGTGTGGAAGGGTGGTGAAGGACCTGTTCCGCGACCAGCAGAATGAGCATCCAGCCTGGACTAGGGTCGCTTGATGCGTAGCTTTTACGCCGAGGGCTGGTGACGCCTTCTTTGCATGACTTGGACCGCACTATCGGGTCGCTGCCATGCAGGTCTGCCATGTACAAGTAGGCCGGAGGATGCACACACTCCAACCCACTGCTTCATTATTTAACCGGTTTTCGTATTTTCATATCCGTACAGCTAGAGGTGAAGGTCTCTGCAGAAATGCTAGAAGCATCAAACCTATATTGCTGTGGCTACTGTCATGAAAGCCCACTGATATAACGACAGTCCTATACAACAAAGCCAGGTTGTGTTTTCGATGTGCAAGTGTTGAGAACAGTCCACATAAATGCCTCGGGTGACAGGTAACTACTATTTTCTACGGAAATACAATGCTATCACGAGACCTGGACAATTCTATAACTAAAGCTAGGTCACTGATAAAACACGATTGGCCACCTAATGGTACCGGACTGTACATCCGCACCGCGGCAAGTAGATATATTATCACCTTGCCCAACCACCACACCAAGGCATGACGATTATACAACAGAAGAACCCAAACCACCGTCATCACTACATATGAGCCTCACAAAACATAAAACAGCACAATCAATACCCATACCATAACATACCATACACATAAATCGAGTTCATCTCTCTCCCAGCACACAGAAAACAGCCCCAACCAAGCAGCACCAAAAAAAAGAAAAAAAAGATAGTCGCGCCCGGGATCGAACCGGGAGCCTTCTCGGCGCTAGAGTAGCTAACACTTCTTGCGATGTGAACGAGAAATCATAACCATTAGACCACGCGACTCGCTTGTTGAAAACTTGCACCTTGTTGGTAATCATGTAGTGCACACGTCAGAACCCAGGCTTATCATTCGGTCTCTTATCCGCGGGAATTCAAATAATTTTTCAAGGTTCTCAACTTGACCGACCTTCTCCCTCCCCTCCGTCTCTACATCTTGAACTTCCCCTATCTCCTTCCTCTCTTATATCTCAGACTCTCTGGCAAACCGACTAGGTAGACGGGCGAGTTTTCACTCTCTGAACGATCCGACTACAACTGGAACCAAACCAACCTCGCGATCCGATTACAGACGAAATCCCCCAACCTATCCGCAAGAAATGCCCGCTTAACCACCACCACCACAGCACACAGCACACAGCACACAGCACACAGCACACACCACATCTTACACCCCACAACCCCGCCCCAAAAATGGACGCACAAGCCATCCTCCTCAAACTAGGCTGGTCCGGCCCCGGCAATCCCCTGAACCCCAACGCCCGGCCGGGCGCCACCTCAGGCCTGGGCCTGACGCGGCCGATCCTCGTAGCGCGCCGGAAGGGCAACTCGGGCGTCGGCAACAAGACCACCAAGGACCCCACGAACCAGTGGTGGCTGCGCGGGTTCGAGGACGCGCTGAAGGGCGTCGGCGAGGCGTCGCGGACGACGGCCGCCGCGGACGTGCGCGCGCCCAACGCGCTGACGAGCGAGCTTTATCGGTTTTTTGTCAGGGGGGAGGTCGTTGCGGGTACTCTTGGGGATATTCATAAGGGAGATGGAGAGGGGGAGGGGAAGAGGAAGAGGAAGAGGGATGGGGATGCTGATGATGGTGATAAAAATGGGAAGAACCACAGGGAAAAGAAGGAGACGAAGGAGGAGCGGAAGGCTCGGAAAGAAGAGCGGAGGAAGCGCAAGGAGGAGAGACGCGTGAAGCGCGAGGAGAAGATGAAGCGCAAGGAGGAGAGGGAGGCGCGCAGAGCGGATCGGAAGCTCAGGCGCGAGAAGAAGGCTGCTGCGAAGCTGTTGAAGCGCCGGACGGAGGGCGAGGAGGATGCGCCGCGGCCCCAGTATGAGGATTATCCGACGCCGCCGATGACGGAGCAGGAGCAGGAGCAGGAGCAGACGGGGGTGAAAGTGAAGGCCCAGAAGAAAAAGGACCGCAAGGACAAGAAGACCAAGGAGGAGAAGAAGACACCAAAAGAGAGCAAGAAGAGGAAGACGCGAGAGGAGTCGTCGACAGATGAGGCACCGAAAAAGGTGAAAAAGTCCCAAGCGGCGGAATGAAGAACCCTTCCGGGAGGTTGGATATATACAGTACACACATTAGACTTCTTACAGATACCCATGGCTTGTTGCTTGGTTCTTGGATTCGTAAAATTTTGGCATTGACATTCCATTCATAAATCAACGCATTGTTTTTGACTCTATCACACATGACTCAACCTATTGTGCCTCCGTAGGCAATTTCCCCGGCCTGCCCGATAGGATCCACGGCCGACGCTGCCAGAATTCATCTTTGATGAGATCCACATGGTCGACGACCACCTGCGCTTTCCGACGCAATTTGCGGATCTTATCCTGCTGAGATCGCGAAGCCGGAGCGCTTGGGATATCCTCCTCATCCTCTGCATCGCCTGACCCTGACTTGGACTGTGCATCTTCGAGTTGATACTGCGCCGATAGTTAATCAGAAACTCCTAGATGACACCGGGAAACCCAAACAGACCTGGCGATAAATCACACTGCCCTTTTTATAGATCTCCTCCTCATTGTTGTAGTTGATCCCGAACCGCTTGAACAGAATCTCATTCTTGTCCGATGAGACAGTGCCCTACCATGCCCATAAGCATCAACCTCTCCACCAGCCATCCCACAAGAGACCGGACTTACCTTCAGCTCCTGCTCCGCATCCGTATTGCTCATACCACCCTGCAGGACCATGGTCCAGAATGTCGTATTATACAGGTTATTGATATGACCTGACTCACTCATCAATACCCGGCCAGACTAAACCCGAGGGGCTGCACTCACAATCCACCTGTCTCCAGCTCATGTAATCTCGCAAAATCCTCGAGCTCGGGTACATGACCGCCCGCCCATCGAACGAAGGAAGAGCCGCGGGCTGCAGCGGCGTGTCGGGGAAATACGTCCCCCAGAGATAGATATAGTATGCTGTGAAGGTCGACACGATGGTCGTGACCAGTTTGCTAGTCATCCAACAATTGATGATGAGCTTTCAGAAGACGAATGGGGTGATGCAACTTACGCGCTCCGCCGCTCGAATAATTGGCAGCTGGGGTGAAATGCAAAACTGGAAGAAGAGGGTTAGGAAGATCTCCATGCGTTAGTAGCGGGGAGACTGCAACGGTACCTGTACTCGTCGCTGACACCGTACGCGAGACATAGATCGGGAAGCTCCTTCATGACCTCCACGGCGGCGGCGTTCATCAGATCGAGAGCCCGACGGTCGTTGGGCTTGACGAAGCCGTAGCGATCGGAGAGTCTGGAATGGGGTCAGAGACTGGATCCGGGGTGGCCGTTGCACGTCCCCACGAAGGTAATGAGCTTTAGAGATGAGTGAAAGAATAAACGGACTTATGGAACCCTCGACCGTCAATGCGAACGACAATCCATGTGTTGGGGAGCAACACATCGGGTTGTTCGAATGACTTGACATACTCGTATCTGTGAAGGGTTTTAGCGCAGAAGATATGTCAGGGTGAGAATTTGAGGGAATCGTACTTGGAGTTTGCCATTTTGACGCTATATGAGAGTATGTTAGGGCTACGGAAGCATGTATACAATGATCATAGAGAGAGGCTATGTATAATGAGGATGCAGCCGCCGAGGGTGGGATTGAAGGTGGGATGAAGATTTGAGTGGTGGGGGAAGGGCCGCGGTTCCTCTTTTTTATCCGCGCAACGGCAACCTTGAACAGAACTTGACCAGAGGTAGTACTCTATATCCAGTACAGGACACATATCTAATGACACTTGGAAGAAAGTGTTGAAGTGGTTTACACATACTGAGCTCGTTTATTTTTCGCCATCTTTGTATCAGGAATGGTGCCTTCAAAGAAAGAAAGAAAGAAAGAATGAATGAATGAATCAATGATGCATTTAAGAAAATTATTATGTGCAATCCAAATATGCCTAGGAAAGACTGAAAAGACTGAAAAGTGATGACCACCAACCCTGAAGCTTACAGCGCTAGGAAAGGCCGAAAGAAGTAAATGACAAGTGACTGACTCACTCTTGATCTATGGATAGGATAAGTGAGAGAATAAATGCTGCACGACGCAGTATGATCAAGAATGATGATGATCCTCCGCCTCGGAATCTTCGTCTGCCTCGCTGGCCTGTTCGCTAGGACGCTCGCTCGTCTCGCTAGCAGCGGACCTCCTCGACATCCGACTGAAAAAACCCAAGCTGCTGCGGGTAGATCTATCCGCAGAGGGTGCGCTCGAGACAGTGCTGTCAATGCTCTTGGCAAGTAGCGCTTCACCGTGGGTATCCTCATCGATATCTCCCTGCGCGGTGTCACCCCGCTTGGAAAAGAGACCAGACCGATCCTTCCACGAAGTGAATTTACTCGAGCTCCCTTTACGGGTGATCTTGCGGATAAATGACTCCTTCGAGCTGGCATTGTCCAATGAACCCCCAGAAAGCATTCGCTCCAGTGATTCGTACGAATCGCCGGTAAGGGCAGACAGAGAACGTGAATCCCGGGAAGCGCGCGACTCCGAGGGAGAGCCTTCGTCCATCGGAAAATCAAACGGTGCCTCTAACTCCCGGTCCTTGCCCTTGTCTTTCTCCTTACTCTTGTCGGATTTCTTCCCGGAAGAGAAGATGGCCTTAAACGAAGGCGCTGCCGGATTCAACTTTGGAGTAACTGGCCGATGCGAAGACGATGGTCGGGTGCCGATAGGAGCCTGCAAGGGGCGTCCTTGCCGCTCAAAAGACGAGTCCTGGAGGAAATCGGGCTCACCGGTCAGGCTCAAAGGCAGGTGACCAGAAGACCCGTACTGAATCGATGGCCGACGGGATTGAACCCTTGACCAAGTTGAGGGGGACGCCCAATCAAATCCCAAGGGGCTACGGTGGCCGGGCTTCTCGGCTGACGGCCAGCCAAAGTGCCTGTTATCTGTCGAAGGATGGGGAAGGTGATTGTCGAACGAGAAGGTCGAAGACGGCCTTGGAGACAATGATTCTCGCCGCACTTTCCCAAGAATTGTAGCGGGATCGATGGGATCATGCCGGGGGCTGAATTGGTTGTATCCCGTGCTGAGATCCGCATTCTCGCCGGACTTGAGCAAGCTGCTACCGCTGCCAAAGCCAAATCTACTGGGAGAGAAGATACTCGAGAACGCAGTGCGACGAGATGGATGGTGATCCGACGAGCTGTCAGTTGTGGCACCGGCTGTATTGCTTCGAGGGAACAATGACATCGGATTGGCCCAATTGCCTGTATAGCTCAGCCGACGACGTCTAGCACCGATGGGATCCATCTCATCCAGATTACGGGGGAATGACTGACTCTGTCCTGGTTTCAGGCTGCCTAGCAAGGGCGGTTCATCGGCGAGAGTTTTACCGCGAGGACGATGGAAGCCAAAGAGGCCAGAAAGTCGCCGCGAGGCACTCTTTGGCGCCTCACCTGCTTCCCCTACGTTCGTGGGTTGAGGCTCGACTTCAATAGAATGAGGTTGGCTCTCATGAGGGCTGGCGAAGAGGCTTGCTGGACGACTGTTGTTGGGCGAATCGGGCGACGGCGGGCCGGGGGGAAATTCGAGCTGGGTGCCCGGTTGCTCAAGGTTGGGAAAACGAGATCGGATAACCGGACGAGGAAGCTCAGGCGACTCCTCATCGCCGAGAAGATCCGAGGGTAGTAAGGCGTCTGCGCGAGGGCTCATTTGAGGGGCACCGAGAGAAATCTGATCTGCTGGATAGCCATGCAGAGAGTCAGATTGGCTGGTCAAACTCGGCAGAGTCATTCCGTTCGTGATGTTAAAAAATGCGGAGGTGGGACCAAAAGTAGGTGAGCTGGTGACGGGAGGATTGTAGCCAAGGCTGCTGGAGAATGTTGGCTCCAGGGACGTATAGTTCATGGGCGAAGAAACATTGCTGGTAAGCGAACTGCGATGCCGACGGGGACGGATGGTTGCGGTGTTCGAGAGATCCAAATCGAGAGCTGGGAGAGTAAAGGGTCCTGTGCTGCCGCTTCGCTGGGTTGTAAGCCATTTCAAGCGTTCCTGAGCCTCTTGATACTGTTGCTGCGCCTTGAGGGGACGGTTAGTGTGCGAGGTTGCAAAATGGTGGCTTCGAGCAAACTCACCTGGGCATGAAGGCTGACTAGAGTGGCATAGCGAGCATGAAGGTTGCTCAGTTTGACATCCCATTGCCGTGCTCGTTCATTATCAATTCTGTCCAACTCTTTTCCGTCCTCACTGTCGGCCTCCTGGTGAGTCTTCCTTTCATCCTCAAGTTTCTTGACACGACCACCCTTGTCCTGGATCTCATCATCGATGAGCTTCATCTCTGACTGCTCCTTATTGATCTTCTCCCGAATCTCGTCTGCACGCTGTTTCGCTTCCTCTTCGACTCGAGCCTTCTCCTGTCTTGACTCAGCAGCTTCACGAGCCATGCTTTCAACCTGCTCCTGCCACCGAATGATGTCGGCCTTGCGTTTCTTTCGCTCGGACTCTTTCTGCTGCAAGAGTCTTTCACGTTTAGATTTTTCACTTTGCACAGTGCGGTTGACGCTTTCCAACTTGTAGACGTGTTTCTTCAAATCGCCGCTGGCTTCATCCTTCTCCTTCACTCGCTTCTTCAGCTCATCACGCTGTTTCTCCAGTTCTTTCAATAAAGCGATGTGCTCTTCTTCTTCGTCGGCGGTCTGCTTTTCCACGGTTTCATTTTCCTGCTGCAGGGATTTCAATCGATCGGCAAGCTGCTCCAATGTTTCATCATGGTCGTCAGTGGCGGTAATTTTCTGCAAATCCTCGGCACTGGAGTGAGCGATGTCGGTCGTGCTAGCTGCAGGGGATGGTTTCCGCCCGGCCGTAGATCGCTTCGCCTGAAGTTGTCCTCCGCTATGCTCACGCGCCATGACAGGCGCCGCGGGAGCGGCCAGGCCTGCGGTCGATCGGGGAATCGAGGCCCGGATGGTAGGGTTTCCGACCGGCGCATTCTGCTGCGACTGGGAGAGAGGTAGAGATTTCGTGCGCACATGAATAATCGCGCTGGGTGTCTGAAAATTGGCGGCGCTGACTGAGAGCACACAAATATGGTAAATACTTCCAGGGACTAAATTTAGAATTTCGACAGCAGTCTCCGCTCGTTTCGATTCGCCCACTGACAGAATGTTAGCCGCACCAGAGAAAGAAGGGATCATAATCTCTAAATGAGAAATACCTTTGACGCCATTTAGTTGAATGATGTGCTTGTGGATCGAATTGTGGAACTCTGGTTGTTTCCAGGCTATCCGGATCTCACGCGCTGTAATTTCCTCTAGAGTAACTTCCGGGGGTGGCGGAATGTCGAGCCCCAGCTTTTCGACAAGAACTTCGTTGGGCGTCTGACAGACCTGCCACGCACGGTAGAGCAGCCTTGAGACAAGATTAGTGCACCCGAGACGTGATTTGCGAGGTTCTCTGAGGGACTACTCACCAGATCAGGGCCCAGAGAATTGTGACAGCTAGGAAGAGAGCCATAACGCCTCGAACCCTGACTCGGGGAACCACGCTGGGATAGGCGTCGAAGGAGAGATGCAATGGCTCATACATCCCAGCGTCCACGACCCATGGAGGAGGAGACAGGAAGTGAGGGGGTAGCAGCGACCTCGTGCACGCTTAAGAGTGCGAGAGGGCCGTAGAGGATAGAAGGTCGAAAGGTCGAATAGAGGTCCTGCGATGCCGGGCAGGATTGAAGCAAGATATCAAGAGAGAGAGAGAGTCTTTGGGGAATTAATCCGATGCTCCGCGGAGGCTGCCGACCCAGTGGGGAGTCCAAGTCACCTGACTGTACCCTTAAGGCTGGCGGCTTGAGATCAGCTGAGTCAGCGTGCAGATCCTGTGCGACTGATCTAGGCATCCAAAGCAGGACTAGCGCCCGTTCCAAGCCGAGGAATGTTGATAGTTGGAAGGCTGAAAGCACATGACGCCGACCGGTTGGGCGGTTGAGCCTCTCCCAACAATTGCCTGCGCGGAATTGACGGTTCTGCGAGTTCTTTTCCTTCTTATTCCAGTTCTATTGGCTTTTTTCCAAGTCTCATACATTCTTTGCTTGTCTACCTGGCCATACAGGTATCACTCGCTTGGTTATTATTTATCTGATTGTTTTAGTGGACTGTTGCGCGAGTGACTATCGTCTCTCGTTATCATTTCTACCTACTTTACTACGTATTGTCTCCCGCCTCGGGGCATGTCTATCGGGCATTGTCACATGGGACGTACGTATGTCGGAGTAGGCGGCAATTCCTGCACCCCCGGCCTCTGACCATTACCTCCTTCAACCCCTCTCCTACTCCCACCTGCGTGGTGAGACTTTGAAATAGATTTCGCTTCTCAATCGCTTTCTCTCGGATCTACTCGACCTCCTCCAGGGACCACCCCCTGTTGAGCCTGCAGGATGCAATACGTCCGCAGCATCAGCGGTTCCGTCTCGAAGACCTGGAACTCCATCAACCCAGCCACCCTTAGCGGGGCAATTGATGTCATTGTGATCGAGCAAGAAGATGGTTTGTTTGACATGCTCTTCGGTGCGTCTCATCAATTATTAATCGCAAATTGCCGCAGGAACCTTGGCTTGTTCTCCATTTCATGTTCGATTCGGCAAGTTCTCTCTCCTCCGCCCGTACGAGAAAAAGGTACCGCCGGCCCGCATCCACTGTCCAGCTATTATGGCTAAGATGTTGCTAGGTGGAATTCTCCGTGAATGGCGTCAAACAGGACTATGCGATGAAGCTGGGTGAGGGCGGGGAGGCGTTTTTTGTGTTCGAAACGACTGCCGAGATCCCCGCCTCGCTGCAGACGTCACCCTTGGTTTCGCCTACCAGCAGTCCCAAGATGCGCAGCGAAGAGAACATCTCCTCTTCCTTGTCAGAGCCGGAGTATTTAGACCTCGATCGATCTCCGTCGCCCACTGAAAACCGAGCCGATGGGAAGTCATCGGCTGAACTCCCCATATTGTCCCGGGGGATGCGGGCATCCAGCGACCTGGGTACGTTGAGGAGGGTCTTGTACTTGGACAACGACTGATGGCCTCACAGGTACAATTACACCTCTGTCGCGATCACCGGATAATGATTCAACTATGGGCCGGTCCCGCCATGGCTCCTTCAGCGAGAGCCCCGCCAAGATCGACCGGATGGCCACCGATAGCGTGCTTTTGACGAAGAACCGGTCCAACAGTATTGGAGTGACGAATCAGCCGTATGCGGTGAATGCCTTAGGCGATGAAACCACTCCGGATGGACGATCCCGCAGCCCTCCGCCGTTGTCGCTTGAGGAAGTGATGTCTCGAGCCGAATCGCTGTCGAAGAAGCTGTCCGGGTCGAACATCCCATCTCGCGTAACGGAGACTGGAGATTTGATGCTGGATATGACGGGCTACAAAAGCAACGAGGAAGACGCGCTGCGGGCGGAAATAATTGCTCGGAAGATTCTCGCCGAAGAATTGGAGGGCAATTGCGACATCGGAGCCCTCATCGGGGCGGATGAGCACGGTAATCTATGGATCTACAGCAGCGAGGAGGCCAAAGAGGCTGCCGATCGCCGGGCTACGTTCAACACAATGCGACCGGGGTCGGCAATGAGTGAAAATGCCATCTCCGACCCGGGGTACCATAGCGATAGCGACCCGTCCATCCATGACAAGGCAGTGACGGCCCGTCACTTTCGGACGCAATCAGACGTGCAACCCGGCTTTCCTACACCGCCACAGTCACCTAGTCAAGATTCGCTTGCCTTGGAACCCACACGTAATTACGCAAAGACTTTACGATTGACCAGCGACCAGCTCAAGGCACTGAAACTGAAACCTGGTCCCAACAACATGTCGTTCAGTGTGAACCGAGCAACCTGCACCGCCAACATGTATCTGTGGAACGGCAACACGCCAATTGTGATCTCAGATATTGACGGGACCATTACTAAGTAAGTACAAGACTCGTGCCATCGGCTTTGCTCCCACTAACTCTCATAGGTCTGATGCTTTGGGTCATGTGCTGAACATGATTGGACGAGACTGGACACATGCTGGAGTCGCCAAGTTGTACACAGACATCGCTAATAATGGCTACAACATCATGTACCTTACCAGTCGATCCGTCGGCCAGGCCGACACGACGCGAGCCTATTTATATGGAGTGTGCCAGGATGGCTACCGACTCCCCAAGGGTCCAACCATTATGAGTCCGGACCGGACCATGGCGGCACTTCGACGGGAGATCTACCTTCGGAAGCCCGAAGTCTTCAAGATGGCGTGCTTGCGAGACATCCTGAACCTGTTCAATGGCAAGGAGAACCCATTCTACGCCGGGTTTGGCAATCGCCTGACGGACGCGCTAAGCTACCGCTCGGTGAATATCCCTTCGACACGGATTTTCACCATCAACTCGAATACGGAGGTGTCGTTGGACCTTCTCAGTTTGAACAAATACAAGAGCAGTTATGTTTCAATGGGAGAGCTGCTTGACCACTTCTTCCCGCCCGTCAGTTTGCTGGTTCAGGCTGGTGGCGAGGAGTACACCGATTTCACGTATTGGCGTGAACCCCCGCCCGACCTCGAGGCGTTCTCATGCACAGACAGTGAAGCCGAAGACGAGGAACCCGAGGAAGACGAGGAGGAGGAGGAGGACGAGGAGGAGCTGGATGAGGACGAAGAACTTGAAGATGAGGAGTACGACGGCGAGATCAGCGACGATGGCAGCGAGGCTCTGGACGAGGAGGAGATTGACGAAGAGGAGGACCTTGGCGCCAGTTATATATCGCAAGACTCCGTGGACGGATCTGAACTGGTGGATGATCACCACATTCTTCCCAACGAGGAGGAAGTGAGAGCTGTCAGTGCCACTCCACGGTCTCCCCCGCGGCCACCCTCTCGTTGAAGTGTTGTTGGGCGTTGTTGTTGAATCGGTGGGCAATGAATAGCGTAAGACACGCTCTATACCCCGTCTGAGGACGATTGTCGCCGATGCTTCGAGCTGTGATGGCATAGATAGAGCTTGCATGGGGGTGTTTGTTTATAGAGCAGCATTGAGGCGTTGCAAGGATGCATAGTCTAGTCAAGAGTCACAGTTATATGTTAATACACTTGTGGAGTAGTAGCTCTATGGACATAAAGACACAGGAGATGTGGACTCAGAAGGCCTCCAATCTCTAGTTAGTGTTTTTACTTGGTACTGTACCTTGAGGCACGGAGATGATGATACCAACCTTAGGTATACTTCATAACCTGGAAGAGTGAGCCGATGTCCGGACGGGGACTAGCGTGGCGGGAAGAATCCCGCTCCAGTCACTTTCCAGATTCAATAATTAATTGCTTCCAAGTTCCCTCCACTTGCTGCCTGCAGACTGCGAACTGACATCCATCCACCTACCTCAGCCTTGACGATAGACGACAGAGTTCCATTTCTGGTGGGCTGTTGATCGATCGCGGAACGATAATGCTTAAGGTTGTCAATTGACAGCCGCTTCACTCTTTCCTCATCGCTCCCTTACCCGTCGCAAGGCGGTAGGCGACACTACGTACAGTCCTCCGTACCTACAACAGCGCGCCTTCCACAGCAAAGCACTCCGCACGACATCAGTGCATCTCCTCCATTCCACTTTCCCCCTCAGATATGGCCTCACCCTCGCACCCATCCAATCCCGGCGCAGCGACAACCAACCACCCTATCACCCCTCCCGCCGACCACCACCAATCGACCCCGAACGCGGCCTCCAACATGAACACCACGAACAACACGACGACGACGTCGACGAACAACCCCACCAGCAGCACTAGCACCAGCACCGCCAACCCCAACACAACAGCCCCCACAACAGCACCCGCCGCCTCCACGACCCCGGCACCCCCCAACCAACCGACGCAGATCCCCTCGACCTCCCTCAAAGACAGCGGCAAGTCGCGGCGCCCGCGCGATGTGCGCCTCATCCACATGCTGCTCGCCAGCCTGGGCGTGACGGCGTACCAGGAGCGCGTGCCGCTGCAGCTCCTCGACTTCGCGTACCGGTACACGTCGAGCGTGCTGCAGGACGCGGTGCACCTGGCGACGGAGGGGTACGCGGGCGCGACGACGGACACGGGCGCGGCGGCGCGCGGTCCGCCCGAGGTCAACAGCGTCAGCCTGCCGGCACTGCGGCTGAGCATCGCCTCCCGCCTGCACTACCAGTTCCAGTCCGGCCTGCCCAAGGAGTTCCTCATGGATGTCGCGGCGGAGCGCAACCGTGTGGCGCTGCCGGGCGCCAGCCGCGGGTTCGATCAGCAGGGCAACTCCAAGGTGGTCGCCGGCAGCCAGGGCAGTGTGCTGATGGGCGGGCTGCGGCTGCCGCCGGAGCGGTTCTGCTTGACGGGCAACGGTTGGAATCTGCGCGAGGAGTGGGAGAGTGAAGGCGAGGAGGAGGTGGAGGTAGAGCAGCCGGGGGATTTCGGGGGCGATGGCACGTCCGGCGGTGCGCGGGAGAATGGGGGGCCCGGGGTGAAGAAGGAGGAGGAGGATGGTGAGGATGAGGATGAGGATGGCAAGATGGAGGATGTGTTTGGGGAGGACACGGCCATGGGGGAGGCCGATGATGGGGATAAGGATATGACGGATGTTTAGTTAGGGGGTTGGATGGTGTTTTGGCGCTCGGCGTGAAAATAGGGTTATCGACTTTCGAGGAGGAGAGAGGTCAGGTTCTATACCATATCTATAATCATCACGACTTCAGCTTCGGCTTCCTGCCACCACTTTTATATCCTTGAGCTCTCAGCCACTCTCTGGTCGGTCCATACTATACATGTACACATGCTTTCTAAAAGGTACCCTGCATACAACGACGGACAAAAAAGAAAAGCCAATGAACATAAAACGCCATATCATACAACATAAGCAAAGAAGACACAACATAACGCCCATGAAGCGAGCCCCAATCGCATATCCTCATGCATCCGCACCCAACCCCCCCAGCACCAACGGTGCGAACTGACCTCCCGCTCCAAAAACCCAACCCACTGCCAACCTCACCCGGACCAAGAAGAACATCCGTCCCCCGGCGCAGCCTACTTCTGCTGCTGCCGCACCTTCTCCTCCTCCTGCTGCCGCCGCCGCCGCTCATCATCCGCCCGCATCATCGAGATGACCTGCGCGCGCCGCTCCTCGACGGCGTCCAGCTTGGCCTGCTCCGCGCGCCGCCGCTCCTCGTGCGTCGCGAACCACTCCTCCCGCGCCCGGTCTTCTTCTTCTGGTTTGGCGTGCGCCACCATGCACGCGTTCATCGCCAGCCGCTGCGTCCGGCACACCCAGGTCGCGGTTACCGTGCGGTTGACGGCGCATTCGGCGAAGGCTGGACACGTAGCAAATGGGGTTAGCGGTGTGCATTCGGGGTTGAGGTTTGGTTGGGGGGTTGCTCTGGGGTTGAGGGGGAGGGGAGGAGAGCAATTGGGGGGTTTTTGGGGGGAGGGGCGCTCTGCTGCAAGTGGTGGGGGCAGGTTCGTACCCTTGATCTCCGGGGCGCAGTGGCCTCGTACGCGTTTGTAGTATATTTGCTTGACTTCGGATTCTTGGGTGGCGGAGAGGGGCAGGGGGTTGCGGAGGTTGTATTTTGGGGTCGTCATTTTGGGGAGGGTCTTGGGTTTGAGTTTGGGTTTGGGTTCGGGATTGAGGGTGCGTGAGTGAGTATGAGTCTGAGTTTGAGGAGGTGTGGGATCTGATCGAGTGGTTCGAGTGCAATGGTTGCAGGATGCAGTATTCTAGTAGCGTTGGTCGATCACTGGGCTGATTGTCCGTGTCTGTCTGTCTGTCCGTCTGTCGGTGGTGATGGAGGAGGAGGAGGTGGTGGTGAATTGGTCACGCAGTCGTGAGTCACTTCATGCAGATCCACCAAAAAGCAGCCTGATGCAATGCGAGTAAGAATACAATCAACGAGTCAATGAGCCACGCTCTCACAATCGGTCTCACAATCGGTCTCACAATCAGTCTCACAATCAACCACCGCAGCTCGGAGCTTGGATGCGGACAAAGTTCAAACCGGGTGGACTGATCCCAAAGCAGTTTAGTCGCTCCGCCATCCCTCCGCCTTGCCCGCCGACTTTTTTTTGAATAGCCTAGCCATACTCTCTCCACCACGACCTCCGTATCAAATCCAGGACCCCTCTCGTCTGGCTTCCTTCCTTCTCTCCCATCAGAACTCTGAGCAGAAAACCGGCCCCTCCGGTGCCATCCTCAGATCAAAATGTCCACCATGCGCAACACCGTCCAACGGCGCAACCACAAGGAGCGCGCCCAACTCCACGGCCGCGAAAAATGGGGTATCCTTGAAAAGCACAAGGTAAACCCTCTCCTCCTCTTGCCCCCTCTCAGGTTTTTACTGCCTGCAATACTAACTCTTTCCCCCCGAAAATAGGACTACTCCCTCCGCGCCAAAGACTACAATGCCAAAAAGGCCAAGCTCAAGCGCCTCCAGGAGAAGGTCCGCGACCGCAACCCCGATGAATTCAACTTCGGCATGCTTTCCAGCCACACCGCGCGGCAGGGGCGGCACGGCACGGGCGTGCGCGACTCGGCCGCGGCGCGCGGCCTGAGCCACGATGCCATCAAATTGCTCAAGACGCAGGACGCGGGGTACCTCCGCACGCAGGGGGAGCGGATTCGTCGGCAGTTGGGGCGGTTGGAGGAGGAAGTCAAGGTGCAGGTGGAGATCAAGGCCGCGCTTGGGGAGAAGGAGGAGAAGAAAGAGCCGAAGACGAAGGGGAAGAAGGGGGCCGATGATGAGTTTAATGGGTTTGATGATGATATGGATTTCGATTTTGATTTTGGGGATGAGGATGATGACGATGAAGATGATCTGAATGCTGGGGGCAAGTCGAGGAAGGTCGTCTTTGTGGAGGATCGGGGTGAACAGAAGGATTTGAAGCGGGAAAGGCTGTTACGGTTGGAAGAGGAGGAGGACTCCCAAAGCGACGAGGATGATGACTCGTTCGGCCAGCGCAAGAAGCAACAGCAGCAGCAGAAGAAGTCGCAGAAGCAGATCGAGGCTGAGCGTCAGGCCCTGGTCGAGGCCAGGCGCGCCCGCAAGTTGAAGAAGCGCGCCACCGAGGCCAGAGACAACAAGATCAAGGCCCTGCAGAAGCAGTACAAGGAGATCACGGCCGCAGCCCGCGAGCTGGACTGGCAGCGGGGCCGCATGGACAATGTCGTCGGAGGCACGAATAAGAATGGTGTCAAGTGGAAGATCCGCGAGCGCAAGCGGTGATCGGTCCTGCGCCTGTTGTTTGTCTCTTCAATCGCGGCTACATGATTGATGTTTCTTTATCGCTTGCTTGTCACTGCATGGGTTGGGACGGAAAAGTTGCCCCGTTTTTGTTCTCTTATTCAAGTGGGTTTATAGATCGCCAGGCGTCCGAGATACCAAATGTTCTTCATATTGTACATTGATCGTCACATGGGAATCATACTTTTCTGATTGGCTATGCTTGCAATATTACACGCGTCAGATCGTAACTAGCTGCTAAAGAAAACGAAACATGATGCATCATCATCGAACTACTGCTGCTGCTTCTTCATGTGCGCCACACGGATGCTCACAGCCCGCTTGTGCGCATCGAGTCCCTCAACCGCAGCCAGCTGCTCCACCGTACGAGACAGACCCAGAAGACCCTCCGCAGTCAGGTTGGAGCTGGTGATGTGCTTGAGGAAAGATCCGAGGTTCACGCCAGAGTACTGCTTGGCATATCCATAGGTAGCTGCGAATCGTTAGCCATTGCTCCCTGAAACCAAAAAGGGTAAACTTACGAAGAGAGTGGTTCGTGCCAGCAGAGTAGTCGCCCACACTCTCAGGGGTCCACTGTCCGACAAACACACTGCCAGCATTCTTCACACTCGCCACAGCCGCCTCAGCGTTCTGAATCTGCAGGATCAGGTGCTCGGGAGCGTATTCGTTGCTCAGAGCCATGGCCTCAGCAAGGTCACGGACGACGAAAGTGACCGAATGGGCCAAGGAGCCCTTCACAATGTCGACGCGAGGAAGAGCCTTGGCCTGGATGTCAACCTCCTTCTCAATAGCCTGGAGCTGCTCCTCATTCAGATCGATGGCAATGAGGATGACCTGAGAGTCCACTCCGTGCTCGGCCTGGCTCAAAAGATCGGAAGCCACGAACGCCGGGTTGGCATCCTTGTCTGCAATCACCAACACCTCACTGGGACCGGCGGGCATGTCAATGCTGACACCAGCAGAGGTGTCGTTAGAGACCAACATCTTGGCCGCGGTGACAAACTGGTTGCCTGGTCCCAGAATCTTGTCGACCTTGCTGACGCTCTCAGTACCGTACGCCATGGCCGCAACCGCCTGGGCACCACCAGCGAGTACGATGCTCTCAGCACCCACCTTGTGAGCAACGTAGACAATCTCGGGAGAGATGCTGCCATCGGCCCGAGGAGGAGACGCGAAAACAATCTTCTCACACCCAGCCACCATAGCAGGAACTCCCAGCATCATGGCCGTGGATGGCAGAACAGCCGTTCCACCGGGGATGTACAGACCGACCCGCTCGATAGGGCGTGAGAAACGAGAGCACACAACACCGGGCATGGTCTCAACCTTGAGGCCCTCGGGGTTGCCCGCCTGAGCGCTGTGGAACTTCTTGATGTTGGAAATACTGATGTCAAGGGCTTCCTGGGTCTCAGGGGACAGTTTCATCAGCTCAGGTGCGAACGGGGCGCGGATGACTGGAGAGGTCAGAGAAGTCGCCTTCTCAAACTTGTGGGTGTACTTGAGTACACCGGCATCGCCATTCTCGCGGACATCCTGGATGATGGGGCGAACGAGGGCGACAATCGCATCGTTGGACTTCTGGGAGGGACGCTTGAGATACTCCTTCACCACGTCAACCGAGGTGGAGGCGGTGACCACACGAGTCATCTGAAGAGGCTCATCCACCTTCTGGGGCGAAGGCTCAGGGGCAGCAGGCTTCGACTCGGGAGTGGCGGCGGTCAAACCAGCCTTCTCCGCCCAGGGGCCCTTGGCATCACCCTTTCTGCGCTTGACCTTCAGGCTCTTGAGATCAAGGTTGCGCTCCACGTCCTCGAGGCTGACACCAGCAGCGACACAGCGAGTCAGGGCAAAGTAAAGCAGATCGGCGGCCTCGAAAGCAATCTCCTCCTTGGTGTTGGCACGGCACAACTCATCAGCCTCCTCCATGATCTTTGCCTGAGTGAGCTTAGGCTCGTTGAAAAGGCGTGCAGTGTAGGAGCCGGCGGGAGCATCGGCCTTGCGAGCTTGCAGCGTCTTTTGCAGACGAGCGAGGCCGCTGTAAGGTCCGAAACAGCTGGGGGCACCCAGGTGGCAGAAACCTATTTCTGGTTAAGCGAGAACGCCACGGGTAGTGTGGATAGACTTACCTCTACCAATCTGGTTGACAACAAAGACCAAGCAGTCGCTGTCGCAATCGAAACCAATGCGAATCAATTCTTGCACATCTCCACTGGACTGGCCCTTGTACCACAAGCCACGTTTGCGGCTCTGATAGACGCCTGTACCGGTGCGAAGAGCCTCTGCAATGCTTTCAGTGCTACTCCACACCAATCCCAAGCAAATTCCTCTTTCATCGGTGACGGTGGTTGCATAAAGACCGTTGCTTTGGTCGGTCACAGCGCGAGCGGCGACCAATGAGGCGGCGGCAATCTTGCCGTTGGGTTGTTGGTGGTCGAAGGTCAGAGCGTCGGCGGGGACAACACAGACACCTCCTTGACCGATAGTGTCCTTCAAGGTCTCCTCGGTGACAGCGCCAGAGTATGTGCGGTAGAGGTTCTGAGCTTCGAGGTTGATGTTCAATTGCTCAGCCAAAGTCTTGATGGCAGAGGCATCGGTAGATAGACCAGCCTCTTGGCGCTCGGCAGATCCGCCAACCCACGACTGGAAGGCATTGATTTGGCTCTCGGAGGCAATGGCAACAATCCGAGATGAAGGGACGGACTGTTCTTCGGACAAGGCGTTCAATTGGCTGAGGGTGACAAAGATCTTGGCGGCACCGGCGTTGAGGATATCGACCAAGTCACCGGAGGAGGCAATGGCAGTGGCATCGACGTAGACATCCAGAAGGCGGAAGTTGCGCTTGAGGAAATCCTCTGCCTGAGCGAGGCTGGAAACCTTGATCAGAACGCGACCGAAGTAGGCGATCTGCTTCAGCGACAAACCGCCGGTGGAGGCGGCGGCGGGGTCGTACGAGACGAGGAGGGGAGTCGACATGGTGAGGTAATCAATCGATGATTGTTTGTAGAAAAAGAGGAGGTGATAGAGAGCCGATAGATGAGGCCCCAGGACGGGGGTGAGTGAGAGAAACAGGACAGGGAAAACTGACGAGAAAAAAGAAGGTGGGGAGAGGAGGGAAGAAGATTCAAGAGGAGGAGGAAGTGGTGAGTGGTGAGTATGAATCATATTTCGCCCGCCGCCGCCTTCTGGAAGAATACTTTCCTATCGGTTCCGCCTGCAATTTTCTCGCCTGCCCCGCAATCGGAGACCTTGACCGCCTGCTCGTTTGAGACAAACCGGCGGGCAGGGTTTAATTGGCTGACCGCCTTCTGCACGGGTCAGGAACAGTCACTGTGAACCAAAGCTTACGTCAGGGATGGAATCATTTCCATTTGTCCTACTGGGTGAAACTGGATACTTTTTTACCATGGCGGCACAGCCGAATTGCAAACGCGGGCAGCCATACTTCGCCATTGCTGTGCCTGACCGGACAACTTCTTTTTGAGGATCAATTATAGCCTTGTTAGTTTCCCCCTCATTCACTCCATTGGGGTGGTTTGGGACGCAACCCCCTGACTATAGTGACATTCTGGCTAAAGAGGCTAAAGAAAGTCAGCTTAAGGGTCTTTCACTCTTGTGCCGAGTGCTCCTGCCGATCATTGCCATCAACGATGAGGGGAAATGCGATCATCTGCTTTCTCTCCGCATCATCTGCTCCGACCCTTGACAGCCTGGCGAGCTGACCTGCCCCAGTGATGTCTCCAGAAGTATAGCGGAAACGGTATGAGGCAACGGGGTCCGATTCGACCTTCGACTTGTCACACTCTCGAGTGTCTGGTCTGGTGCCTGGACTCTGGGATGAACAAAAGAAAGAAGGGTACTCATATTCAGACTGAATCGGTCCAAACCGGAATCCACCCTTGCATCTCGATGCATAGCATGGACGGTGGAGGCCCCTGCAATCACCAATCGCGGTCCCCAGATCGGCGAGGAATGGACCAACTGCTGGCCATGATGTAGCCTTTCTCTCCCTATGCATGCCTCCTGCTCCTTCAGGTCCAGGCTCCTTCTTCTTAAACTCCTAAATCATTCTCCCCCCCCCCCCCCCCCTCTCTCCTCTTTTCCCCATCCTCATCGTCGACAACTAGCACCGGATTGCGGGATCTAGTGCGTGCGATCGTTATTTATACTGGTTGCCCCTCCCCTCCGCCTGTTGTTTTTCAGGCTGTCACTCTTTGGGTTTGTTTCTGCTCTCGAGTGCAGTACCCATTCGTTGTCCATAATTTCCCGTGTTGCCCTTGTGTCACTCTCTCACCGGGGTCATGCATTTCTCCTCACTCTCTTTGTCGCTGACGGCGTTGGCCCTCGTCAGCCCTAGTGCCGCCTTTCCGCAAGCCCGATTTGTCCAGCCCGTTCTGCGCACCGAAGACAAAGACCAATCGCGCGCTGATGCCGTCAAAGAGGCTTTTTCCCACGCTTGGGATGGCTACTATCAGTATGCTTTCCCTCATGACGAGCTACACCCCATTTCCAATGGCTATGGAGATTCCCGCAACGGATGGGGAGCATCCGCGGTGGATGCCCTCTCCACCGCCGTGATCATGCGCAATGCGACCATTGTGAACCAGATTCTCGACCATGTAGCGAAGATTGACTACTCAAGCACCAGTAGCACGGTCAGCCTGTTCGAGACCACCATTCGCTACCTTGGCGGCATGTTATCCGGCTATGACCTGTTGAAAGGCCCTGCCGCCGACCTGGTGGACGATTCGTCGAAGGTCGACACCTTGCTCACGCAGTCCAAGAATCTGGGTGATGTTCTCAAATTCGCCTTTAACACCCCGTCGGGCGTTCCGTACAACAATCTCAACATCACCTCTCAAGGTAACGATGGGGCCACCACCAATGGCCTCGCAGTCACCGGCACCCTTGTCCTGGAATGGACACGTTTGTCCGATTTGGTTGGAGACTCTACCTACGCGGACCTGAGTCAAAAGGCGGAGTCTTACCTGCTAAACCCCCAGCCCCAATCTGCGGAGCCTTTCCCCGGATTGGTGGGAAGCAACATCAACATCGCGACCGGCCAATTTGCCGACGGCGCGGTGAGCTGGAACGGTGGAGCTGATTCGTACTACGAGTATCTGATCAAGATGTACGTGTACGATCCCAACCGATTCGAAACGTACAAAGACCGCTGGGTGGCGGCGGCGGAGTCATCCATGAAGCACCTGGCGTCGCACCCGTCCACACGCCCGGACCTGACCTTTTTGGCCTCGTACAACAATGGCAAGCTGGGTCTGAGCTCTCAGCACCTGACGTGCTTCGATGGCGGTAGCTTCCTGCTCGGCGGCACGGTGCTGGACCGCTCCGACTTGATCGACTTTGGTCTGGAGCTAGTCAACGGCTGCCACGACACCTACAATTCGACCCTCACGGGCATCGGCCCGGAGGCTTTCAGCTGGGACCCGAACTCAGTCCCCACCAGCCAACAGTCTTTGTTTGCGAGCGCTGGCTTCTACATCACCAGTGGCGCGTATATCCTCCGACCGGAAGTCATCGAGAGCTTCTATTACGCGTGGCGCGTGACTGGTCAGGAAACTGTAAGCAAACAGGCCCCTGAAGAGAGGGTTCCTTACTGACAAACGAATTTGTAGTACCGCGAGTGGATCTGGAGCGCCTTCCAGTCGATCAACAAGTACTGCCGCACCGACTCGGGATTCGCAGGCCTGACCAACGTCAACGCCGCCAACGGAGGCAACCGCTATGATAACCAGGAGAGTTTCATGTTTGCCGAGGTGTTGAAGTACACGTACCTGGCGTTCGCCCCGGAGGATGAATGGCAGGTGCAGAAGGGGAGTGGGAATCAGTTTGTGCTGAACACGGAGGCCCACCCGGTGAAGGTGTACAGTTCATAGGCTTGGAGCGTGGCAGTAAGGGCCTGGCAAATGGTGCTATCTTCCGTGTAGAAGTCCAGAGTATAGAGTCAGACACGGAAGTACATACGTACATATTGTTCGAGTAAATGGAATACTATTCTTTGGGCCATAGCTTCAGACATACTGATTACTAGATACCTAGCCACCACGCGGTGAGTAGGACCTTATGTAAATGCAGAGGAGCACCGCCTCATGACTCCAACAAGCCCTTCTATAAACGGAAATCCTTCTCAAACATTCTCAAGATAGACATCTATTGTCAAAGGAATGAAGGTCAAATCAGAATGCAGTCCCTCAACGCGACAACAACGAAACCAACTCAATAAAGATAGACTTCGCCCCACTGTGGCCCCACTGGCCCCCCCCACTCCCCGCGTTGATTTGCGCAGATTTGAGCATCTTCGAGTATAGACCTTTACCTCCAGTGCTGAGTGTCTACGTTGTAGGTATCTACCTTGGTGGCCACACAGACCATTTCCACCTTGGAGACCGCCTCCCCATAAGTTCTATGCTTTCCTCTCATCATGAAGAAGCCATCCCGATCAACCCCATCAATTCTCACCTCAACCATCCTCATAAACTAACACTCCAAACCAACCAACAACCCCCCCTCGAACCCTCGAACTCTCAAACCCTCACCATCATCCAAGCATCCAGAGACATGTGCGGCCCCACCCGCCCCAGCACGGGCAACCTCATCGCCATCATCTTCCCGTCCCTCTCGGGCACCTCCTCCTCCTCCTCCTCCTCCTCCTCCTCGTATTCCCTCACCTTCAGCCACGACCCCCGCACGCCCGACGGCCCGACGAGGGCGATCTTCCGATTTCCCGATTCCAAACTCTGGGATATCTTTTCCGCTGCTCGCGGGGTGGATTTGCGGATTGAGTGAGTTTGCCGCCTGGCCGGTGTCCCGTTTCCTGCTGAGGGGGGGGGGGGTTTGCGGTATTTGGACCGACGCTAATACGTACCCTTTTGGGGGTGGGGGATAGGAAATCCGGGGATTTGACTGCCTCTGCCGGGGGGAGTTGGGAGCCGCCGTTGCATTGGTTCCGGGTTGGGTTGGAAGGGGTATCCTCACTGTCACTGCGGGAGCAGGCGCGGCAGCAGATTGAGGTGGTGTTGCCGGAGAGGTTGGAGTTGGGGGTGTCGGGGACGGGGATTGTTGGGCGGGAGGTGCGGGTGGCGGTGGATGGGGTGGATGCCTTGGTTGAGATGGGGAGGGGGGTGGTTGGGTTCGATTGAGCGGTATAGATATGCCCAGATGGTGGGGAGTAGGGAGTTAAGGGTTGTTGGGGTTTGGTTCGTTAAGGTCCAGACAGGATGACTATCTTCGATCATCCCCTGAATTGACATCAACTATGGGAAAACTACCACTTCAACAAAGCAGCCCCATCCACCCCCTTCGTATACCTCTCCTCCGCCTCCACCCAATTCATCACCTGCCAAATCTGCTCCACATAACCCGCCTTATGGTTCAGATACTACAGTCCCACCCTGCGTCAGCATGCATCTCAGTCATCAATAACGGGGAAACCATACCTGAAGATAATAAGCATGCTCCCACATATCCACCCCAAGAACCGGCACCTTGCCCCCGACCACCGGATCCTGGTCCTTGGTGCTCACGATCTCCAGCCTCCCTCCGGGCCCCCCCACGCTCACCAACCACCCCCATCCGCTGCCCTGCAGCCCCAGCAGGACCGTCCCGAACGCAGCGGTGAACTGGTCCACCGACCCCCACCGCTGCTCGAGGGCGCGCTGCAGGGTCGGAGCGGAGCGGGCGAGGTCCGTGGCCGGGGAGCCGGGCGGGGCCAGGTTGCGCCAGAAGAGCGAGTGGTTGATGTGGCCGCCGCCGTGGAAGGTGAGTCTCTGCTGGATGCTGAGCAGGGCGGGGATGTCGTTGGTGGCCAGCGCGGTGGTTTGGGCGTCCAGGGCCGCGTTCAGGTTCGTGATGTAGGTCTGGTGGTGTTTTTGGTGGTGCAGCTGCATGATCTGGTGGGAGATGACGGGCTCGAGGGCCTGGTGTGAGGTTAGAACTGTGCAGCATGTGGGAGGGTCATTCGGGAGACGTGGTGTGGCTTACGTCGTAGGCGTAGGGGAGAGGTGGGAGGGTGTATTTGGGGGACATCGTGTGGTTCTTGGTGTTGTGGTCGCAGCTGTTTGATGGTGGGTAGAGATTCTTTGGGAATGGAGATGGAAATCGGTAGGCAATGAGGAAGAGTCGAGAAGAGGAGAGGGAGATGGAGGGGAAAGTCAAGGCAGGATCTCCAAGGTCCTCCCTCGCTCCTCTCTTCCCTCGTCCCCTCATGTTAGTCGATGCGCACTTTTGAGCACATTTTACCTGTTGGCCTGCCAGCTTCTGACTTACGGCCCCGCTAACTAATCTCGTTTCGTCGGAAGGTAGCTGAAGAACGATACCATCTCATAGGCTAAAACTCATTCAGTGCAAGCAAGTCGATGATGGCTGGTCTCGTCATCTCCTTCAGCCATCTTACCATTCCCATTCCCAAGCCATCGAACGAACGCCATCGAGATCCTAAAGTCTCGAACGTGATCATTATGGTGACAAAGAAAGACATGACACAAAGACCAGGGTGATCAAAGTGAGCTAACACTGTATACGCCATCTATGGAGCTGAGCGTCCTGCTGCATCGGTGAAGGTCAAAACAGCCGTCAGTATGTCTAATAGGGTTTACCCAGTTGTCTGTATTCTTACCAAAACACTCCCATGCCCAAGATCTCAATTGGGGTCAACAAAGAACAAGACGCATCCTCCAGCTGGACTGCAAACATACTTCTTTCCAAAACGGAGGCCTGAGCACCTTCTGCCTCGCCTGTCTCAAGCCTCAACATGGCGGAGACTTCTCGCCGCACGAGCAACAAAGGTTAACTGAGACAGGGTCGAGCGCTCGCTAGCAACTCCTAAAAGTAGCTTTCCAATCACCAAAGTTGATTATGAGGTTGAGACCAAATGAGCAGATGAGCCGTTGAAACCATGTCGGCAGCTGCAGTCCTAGAAGCGTATTCGAGTGATGGGTCTTACCACAAGGCCTGGAGCTCTGCTACGATATCATATAGGACCGCAAGTATGATGATGATTCATACTGAGGCGGAGTGAGACGAAGGCATACTTTGGTTTGTTTTTCGGATACAGTACGGCCTAGGAGGAACTCATCGCTCATAGGGATTATAGCAGTAGTTGTGATAGTGCGGCTACGGAATGTTCGAACCGTCGTCCTCCGTACCTTAATGTACAAGATGAAAAGGATTCTATAGATCCTACAGGTGGATCCTATTTGAACCTTATCCCATCAGCTGCCATCCTATCATTCAGATCTCGCGAAGTACTACCTGCGTGACCATCTTCCGTCTACGCATTCCCTACCTGCCTCTTCCCCTCTCAGGAAGAAGGCCAATGGTTCGTTCTAAGGCTTTTGGGTGCCTTGGTAGGTGGGTTGGTGAAGTCCTGGGAGACAGACGTACCTTGAGGGATAGCGACGAGAAGAGTTCTACAGACCGGTAGGCAACTATAGTCTAGTACAGTACTGTACTTTCCTTCTTGCCTGCATCCTCATTCATGCACCCGTCACCACAAACCCAAGCACAACGACAACAATCTCACCCTCGAAAACACATGTGATCCACATCCACCTCCGAAACCCACTCAAGTACCGAACTACTGTATACACCAAACTACACTCCAAAGACCCAGACCCACCGCCCACCGACCCAAAACCTAAACCCATCCCGTTCCCGAACGCCCCCGATCCCCGATCCCAACCGAGCTCGGTGAGTCAAAGAACCTCCACCATCCTCACCGGCACGCCTTTCATTCTTGTAAGCCAGCGGAAGCGGAAGGAATAGGGATCTTTTTTTCTTTTTTCCCTTCTTCTTTGATCTTGTCTCGGGACTCGGAAGTTCCAAGAGATGGACGGGCTCGGGAGTTCTGGACCCATGGATGGAAGCTGCCTAGGGAAAGGAGAAAGGGAAAAGGGATGATCTCATCATGTGTCAATCCGAGTAGAAGGTTTGGGTTTCCGATGCACACCGAGATACCTTTCTTTTATATAAGCTGGGGTTTCTAGACGGGGGTTGTGGCTTTTATTTTTGTGGTTCTAGTGATAGGTCGGGTTCAGTTTAGTTGAGCGCAGGTCCTGTATCATCGCTGTGTACGGACTGGACATACAATATGAGACGGATTTTATCATCATCCTTTGGGGGTAGGGCTCCTGCTAGACTGCAGAGTTGGACATCATCCTCGACCTTGGGCAGTGGCAAGGAAAGAGGAAGGTCGATGTCGCTGCTGGCTTGCAGACCACGAGTTGACAAGCATGCCCGATCTACCACAACTTCACCTAGACTCACATCAGCAAACACACCCACGGCCACAGCCAGACTCCTAGCAACACTTACCTCAAATCCACCGACTCCAATCCCCAACCCCGACAAGCCCCGAGTCGTCATCCTCGGCTCCGGCTGGGGGGGATACAACCTCTCACGCAAGCTCTCCCCCGCCCACTTCACCCCGATCATCATCTCGCCGCGCTCCTACTTCGTCTTCACCCCGCTCCTCACCGACACCGCCGGCGGCTCCCTCGACTTCTCGCACATCGTCGAGCCCGTGCGCGACCGCCACGCCAAGGTCGATTTCATCCAGGCCGCCGCCCGCGCCGTCGACTTCGCCTCCAAGACCGTCATCTGCGAGGCCACCGTTGTCCAGAGCGGGGTGACCGAGTCCCCGCGCACCGATGACGGCGAATCCCAGCCCCCTCAAGCATCCCCCACGCGCACCTGGGAGAAAGGGGAGACGTTCGCGGTCCCCTACGACAAGCTGGTCATCGCCGTCGGCACCGTCAGCAGGACCTTCGGCACGCCCGGCGTGCGCGAGAACGCCTTCTTCTTCAAGGATGTGGGCGATGCGCGCCGCGTGCGGCGCCGCGTGCGCGAATGCTTCGAGCTGGCCGTCTTGCCCACCACCTCGCCGGAGATGCGGCGCTGGCTGCTGCATTTCGCCATCGTCGGCGCGGGGCCCACCGGGACGGAGCTGGCCGCGGCACTGCGGGATTTCATCTCCGCGGATCTCATGGCGCTGTATCCCTCGTTGAAGGGCATTCCGAGACTCTCGCTGTACGATGTGGCGCCGACGGTGCTGTCGATGTTCGATGAGTCGCTGTCAAAATATGCCATGGATACGATGCGGAAGGAAGGGGTGGACATCAAAGCTTCACATCATGTGGAAGGGTTGCGATGGGGCGCCCCGGGGGAGGAGGCGCCCACCGAGATGGATCCTAAGCGGTGCTTGACTCTGACTACGAAGGAGGAGGGCGAGGTCGGCGTAGGTATGTGTGTCTGGGCGACGGGGAACGCAATGAATCCTTTCGTTCGAGATGCCTTGGCCGACATCCAAGCATTCCCAGACGAGTCGGCTTTGTTCAAGGATGGAAGCGGTCGACCGAGTGAGGACGTCGTGCAACGGTCCGCGTGGCATGTCAAGAAGGCGCCGAAAGTCGGAGCGCTGTTGGTAGATGAGCAATTGCGCGTGCAGCTGGAGAACGAGAGTGGGGACACAGTGGTGCTGCAAGATGTGTTTGCCCTGGGGGACAACGCCATGCCAGAGAAAGGCGCGCCACCAGCGACGGCACAGGCGACCTTCCAGGAGGCCAAGTGGCTGGCTAATCGTCTCAACCGGGGAGATTCGCAGCCTACGGCCCCATTCTCGTTCCGCAACATGGGTACGTTGGCCTACATTGGAAATGCGAACGCCCTGTTGCAGATTCCGCATGAAAAGGGAGAGCACCATAAGTACCTCCCAGAGGGGCTGAAGGGTCGGACCGCTTGGTTGGTGTGGAACTCAGCGTATCTGACCATGAGCATCAGCTGGAGAAATAAGGTCCGAGTTGCGTTTCGCTGGATGTTGAATCACCTCTTTGGCAGGGACGTGTCGAGGTATTAATTTAATAGCCTAGAAAAAGGTTGAACGGCTCTATCGATGTTGTTCAAAGCATGGCAGGAACTTGCGCATCTCCCCTCACGACTCGATCAATCAGCTCCATGGCCTGGAAGAGCTCGTAGTCACGCTGCTTGGGCGTGATGACCTGCACACTCAGCGGCGAACCCAAGTACACTCGGCGATCCACAGTCTTCTGGTTCCCTGTTGACCATTAGTATCCAGTAGGAAAAGATAATCGAAGAAGAAACATACATAGCAGCCGATTAGCCTTATCCCAGCTTCCCAGAACCGGTGCCGTCATCTCCGTCCCCAGCTCCAGATCCTCCTCCTTGAACGAGCGCACGGGAACTGTGCCCGCCGGGTAATCAAGCAGCACCCAGGACGAAGTATACCCAACCGCATTGTACCGATCCAATTCCGGCACTGGGTGCGGCGCGACCGGATGAATGATCGCATCAATGTCTCGAGTATAACTTGTATCTGGTGTCGCCCCGCGCGAGGTCCACATTTGCAGCATTTCCCGCTCAACCTGGGCCCGTTGTGCCTGCAACTCGCCTACCTGCGCGAGCGTCATTTCTCGACCCCGCTTCATCCGGCCCTTCAGCCAGGGTATCAAGGGCTCCCCGGTACTCTCCAGCAGATCCATCATCGGGTTGCCCCCGTCCACCCCCATCAGGCGACCGGCAATACCTTGGCATTTGCTCAGAGCAGGAGGCACAGGGATCTCCACGACCCTGACTCCAGGCGTCTTGCGCAGTAACTGTGCTACCTCGTTGATGACCTTGGCGACAGGTGGAAAAGGCTCGACCAGCCCATCGCGACGGAGGATCCCGATGGTGAAACTTCTGCGTTCGCCAGAGGGATATTGAACCTGAGTGTCGACAGAACCTCCAACCAGTCCAGGACAACCAAGCACGCTACTATCAAACCATCTGCCTGGGATTCCCTCTTCACTAAAGAGCTCCGTGCGAGGCACGATCTCGGCCATCACGACCCCCAGATCTGCGACCGAGCGGGCCAGAGGCCCAGCTACCGGCTGGAGACTGACCTTCCCTTTGCCGGCCAGGCTTCCTGCCTCTTGACTTCCTGCAATCGGCACGCGCCCGGCACTGGGCTTGAATCCGTACAGCCCGGTACACATGGCGGGAATCCGGATGCTACCGCCAATGTCGGTGCCAAAGCCGACCATCGACCCGCGCATTGCGAGCAGGGCCGCCTCACCTCCCGTGCTACCGCCGACGGTCAAGCGACGGTTGAGCGGATTAAGCGTCCGGCCAAGCAGGTGATTGCATGAATCGAGGGCGCCCATGGTCTGCGGGACGTTGGTTTTAGCGATGATGATAGCGCCCAGGGAGGTGAGGAGGTTGACGAGCGGAGAGCTTTGGGCTGCTGGGTGGAAGGCCAGGGCAGCGAGGCCAGTGGTGGAGTCTACGCCGGTGAGATGGAATGAATCTTTGATGGAAACAGGTAGGCCGTGTAGGGGACCGATGGGCTGGCCGGTGCGTTGAAGATGTTCGTCGAGCTTTTGAGCTTGCTGGAGGGCTTGCTCGAAGACAGGCTCCGTGAGGCAACGTGTGAGTTGATGTGCAATTGCGGCTCGCTGCAAGTGCCTTGAATGAGAATAGGGTGAGAGACGGTAGCACGGGATTAGAGCTTTACCTTGCAAAAGGCGTGGACTACCTCCTTCGCAGTCAACTTCCTCTCACGAACGGCATCCAGCAAGGAGCGTACATCGTACTGCTCGGTAATATGCAACTCATCTGAGGTGAGAAGTCCGCATGTTTGAGGAATGTCCATAACATTGATGGCTTCATACTGGCTTGTGTTCGTGATTGAGTCGGCCGGAGACAGCAGGCCGGGTGGAATCTGCGAGGCTTCCAAACGCCACTGGTGCGGTATCTGCGCCTCCAGTTGAAGTTGCTTGCGGTGAGAGATATCTTTATAAGACATAGCTATGATAATTAAAGGTCGAGGTGAAGAGAACGAACAAATATGGTGGTTGTCAAGGGAAGGAGAAGGCGGGAGTCGACACCTTGCGGGGGAGAATCTGGGGAAAAGAAAAGCCTCGGCCGTCGGTCCGCCCTCCTCCTCGGTTAGGCTGTTGGTATCTACAGTACGGAGTACAGTCAGGCACAACATGCAGCATGCAGAAGGTGGAATGGCGACCATGTATTATTTTAATTCAGTCTAACTAAAGTGAACAAAATGGTATCTATCGACAGTCACCCCATCAACTCTTTATCTTCAGATCTAACACATAACCACCCCTCTAAGCCAATTTAGACGCTTCTACTGCCGCTACCACCAGAGCAAGTTACAAAGGACGGAGAAGAGACAAAACTCACTCGACTAAACCACTAAATAAACTTAAAAAGAACACGGCGTCTAGGAAGACGAGAACTCAAATAACGCGATCGTCGAGCAGAAGTTGCTCTCGTTGCCCTCTTGAGGCACCAGCGTGTCTCCACTGGCCGAAGTCACCATGTTGGTGCTGGCCTTGGTGCTGAGACCATAAATGTGCACATCGGAGCAGTCCACTTCGACAATGTTCTCCTGGCAGGATTCTGTGTCGAGACACGTCTGCGAATAGTTGTCGAAGAAACTGTAGAGACCCGCACCGTAGACGTAAGTCTCCGAGCTGCTGAGAACGCGAAGACCCCAAGCTTTGCGGCATGAGTCGGTGGTGCAGTAGGAGAAATCAGGATCGTTCCAGGTGGTGTTAGGAGTGAAGGGAGTGAGGGCATTGGGATTCGCCTGGTAGTAGGGCGTCTCAGTCTGGATGAGGCCCATAAAGACGTTCTTGGCATTGGAGACCTGGTAGTTGTAAAGCTGGTTGTGCTCGGAGGCGGTACCATACAACCAGGCGGACTCTTGAGTCTCGAGGAGAACACCGCGGCCATTGTAGATGTTGATTTGGTTGTGGTCTGCCAAGTCGAGTTCGTGATCTGCGGTCCAGAACCAGGTGTTCTCGAGGTAAACGCTGGACTGCTCGGTGGCATGGAAGAGAAGGAAAGCGCCAACACAGTTCGAGTTGGGGCTGGTGGTCTGGTCAGGTGTCTTGGTGCAGGTGTCGCTCTGAAGTTCAGTGCCTGCAGATCCACCGATGCGAGCGTGAACATCCCACATACCCGCCGAGCCCTGTGAGTCAGCATTGAGGTTCCACTGGATGAGGATGGCACCAGGAGCAGGACCCTTGGTCTCGACAATGAGGTCGCTGATTTCAACGGAGCCGCTCTCGCCAACCTCGCCGACCTGGAGCATGGGGATAGGGTTCTCCGCGTCGGAAAACCTATCACCATACGCCATCAGCATCGGCCAGATTTCACCAGTGATTTTGACATTCTTGGGGACCTTGATGGTATCAGTGATGATGTAGGCACCGTGATCAAAGTAGACAATTTGATCGTCTGTGCACGAGTCAAGGACCTTTTGGATGGCAGCGGTGTCGTCGGTAGAGCCGTCACCCTTGGCACCGGCGGACTTGACACTGATGAAAGAGGAAGCAGCATAGTCTTCATACAAGGGCTTGGACTTCTCGAACAGGGAACCGTCACTATTCAAAAGGGCGCTGGGTTTGGCTGGAGATGCCACTGTGGTCTCGAGGCGAGTCTTGGTGACCGTCTTGTAGGCGCAGGTACCAGATCCGGAAGATCCGGAAGCATGAGCAGAGGTGGCGGCCGCGGACGAAGCAACAGCAGCAGACGAGCCTTGAACGTGGGTGGAGCTGCTAGAATAGCCGCCAGCAGGGGACTGCTGGGCACTCGAGCCAGAAGATCCACCAACGGGAGAGGATTGTTGCGCACCAGAGCTTGATTGAGAGCCATATGCCGAAGTCTCACCGGCAGGCGAAGATTGTTGGGCGATTGATTCAGATGAGCCGTCCGCGGGAGAAGACTCCTCGGCATCAGAGCCAGACTGGTAGCTAGTCGGCTGTGATGCAGATGTCTCCACGACGGATGGCCAGGACTGGCCTGTCGCAGTGCCCTCCGAACTACCCCAGGTACTACCTGTGTGGGGGCGACGGTCAGTGACAGCAGTGGCCTCGGCACCATTGAGCGTAGCTTCGGTAGCAGCCGTGTGGAAGGCGGAGGCTACGGATCCGGTCGTGTAATCGGCAGGACAAACCTCGATGGTTGTGGTGATGGTTTCGACAATGACTTCGACAGCAGGCGAGCGCTTCTTGAGGGTGCTGGAGGGCGTGTACGCGTTACCCTGAACATAATTATCGACCACAGAGCCGCCCGCAAGAATCGTGCTGCCTGAAACACTGGCCACAGCCACGCTGGAACCAGTGAAATCAACATTGTCGAGGACGAGAGCGCCACCACCGGTAGGGATACTGTCAGAGCTGAAAGCAGTGACGATACCAATTGGAGTGCCGGTGAAATTGCTGTCCAGCATCAAAACGGAGCCAACAGTCTGGTTTGAGGGAGAAGCGGACATATTAAGACCGACACCGCAGTTGTTGATGGTCACCGACTTGAAGGTCCACGCCCAGTTCCAGTTCATGTAGATGGCAGTGTTGCAGCCATTGAAAGTCAGGTTGCGGGTCGTGAACTGCTGGTTACCCAGGAAGGCACCATAGTTACCACCGTTAAAAGTCAAATCAGACATGAAGCCGCCGGAACCATTGTCCATGAAAATACCCTGCTGCTTGTTGGCGGCACCTCCTCCCTTGATCATCTCAAACCGGATGTTCTGCAGACTGGTGGCTTGGCCAACCTGCCAATGGATACCGGCGCCGGAGGATTGTGGCATGGCGGTGAGGTCAATGACGAAGTTGCGGATGGCACGGAAGAAGTTGTTCTGGTTTGTATACCAATTGGCGCCAGTGTTGGTGTAGGGGTCCGCATCAATCACAGCCATACCAGTGAAGCCGGCAGACGCCTTCAGCACAGGCAGCTGATTGGCATCGCCAACCAGCTGGGTGTAGTAGTACTGCACAATGGGCGTCGATACAACATATGTGCCGGGAGGGAAGTACACGAGAGCCGGTGTGGTAGTCGAGGAATCGCAGCCCTGGCCGCACCGGTTACCGGAGGAGATCGCCTTGTTGATCGCATCAGTGTCATCAGTAGAACCATCACCTAACAGTTGCCTGTTAGCATATAGTCTCCTCATCATCAAGCACCTTCAACTTACCAGTGGCACCAAAATCTTTCACATTGCGGAAGATCTGGTAGCTCGAGCTGTTACCAAAGGGCACAGTTCCTTGACGTGTAATATCAGCCACCCAGTAGGTCGAGTCGCGAGCCTTCAGCTCCCCACGGGCTTCCAAGTCTCCCTTCATGGGGACAGCAGAGACTAGCCCGGCCGGAAGGCCGAGTAACAGCAGCATGTGGGCCGCGAAGAGCATGACAAATGTGTTCAAAACAGCCATGATTGGGATTGTAGATGTCTGTCACTGAGCCTGCAGAGACAACGAAAGTGTGGAGAAGGACAGTAATATACCCGGCTGACTGGCAGGCAGGGAAGCAATGAGACAGTTCAGCAACCGGTGCTGAACCAAAAATCAAAACAGAGATCGGATGACGAAGCGATATTCGTCACAAGACCCAGTCAGAAGGAGTCTTTTCGCAGCTTCCAAACTGAAGACCGTGGTAAAAAGCAAAATCAAGAGGGGAATGACTAAAGAATGGCAGGCCAAGCAAAGTATAAGTAGAATGAAGGAAAGATCAAAGGATAAATCAATGAATGAATGCGACAACACACAAACTATGTTGTAGCCAAAAACCTGCAGGCACTGAACACAGGATCTCACACCGTGTGACACACACACTGCAGGAGGAAGGAACACAAACGAAGAGAATAGGGAGCGAAGGGGAGCAAGAAAGAGAAAGCAAGCCGGCTTGTGAAGAATCACGAGCTGGAGGAGGGACAATCAGTAGATTAAAAGACTGGCTCGACCCCGAGATGGACTGGTGCTGGTTCCGTCGCGGCGCGGGTCCTTCCAGGCACTGAGTAAACCTTCGTGGCCTTAGGCAGGATCACAACTCTCCACTATTGGCACTAACAGCACCAACACTGGGAAACTGAATCCACAATCACAGTAGCGCCCGATTACCGCCCTGGCTTGATTGGCTCAGCCGGACAGTCAGTGGCAGAAAAGTACCTGTGGCACCGCGGCACCCCCTCAAGCACTTGATTCTTAGCCTCCAATAAACCTTGACGAAGGCACGCGTGAAACGCCTGGCTCAGGGGTTGAAACAATCGCCGCAAGACTACACGAGCCAGTCAGTACAATTTCCCAGTCTGATTGGAGCCACCCGGGCCACTCCAGAGCCACTCCAGCAGATTGCAGTGGGATGATGACCAGTTCCAGGCCAACCAAGCATCTGACTAGATCCAGTCGTCAGTCAGCACTTACCTAGAACTTAGAACCTTTCCCGTCTGATATTCGTCGGTGCACCCGTGCAGAACCTTGGACGTGCAAATGACGGTCGCAAGCGAGCGATTCGAGAGCCGTGACGGAGTCTGCTCCCTTCCGAACAGAGATAAACAACTCACACCTGACAAAAGGAGCGAGTGGTGATCGCAAAATGAGCACACAACAACTACAATAGAGCCTCGTTCCAGATTCCCCCGGACGTGTCCTAGGAAAAGTGAACAATGAGGGTCAAGAGAGTGTATGGTAGAAGGAGAAGGAAGGTATTCCCACAGTCTAGAGGTGGGAAAAAAAGACACAGGGAGGGAGGGAGAGAGAGAGAAGAAAGCAAAGAGCGCGAGTCAGCCGATCAGCGGACTGAATGAGATAAATAACAGGACTGTCCTGGGATCAACATAGCCGCCGTGGCCAGAATCCAGTGGATTATGGCAGATCGACGACTCTGCTTCGCTCTCGTCCCGCGCGTAGGCTGCATGACTGGAATCCTATCGAGAACCGGGCCCTAAGAATGGCATGAGATAGAACCCCAGTAGGCCAGGGCAGCGCCGCGCAAACACACCCTTCC